ACTAGGGATGCCAACGGTCGGTTCGGTTCGGTTTCGGTTTTAAAACCGCGGTTTTCAGCTGAAACCGAACTGACCGCAAAACCGACCGATAAAACCGAATTGCAAAACCGATCGCAAAATTACTGCAAAATTGAATGAACTAATGTTAGAAAGTGTTAATTATAATTTTATTTGATAATATTCCTTAAAATTATAATTTTTTTTACGATAATAATGTCAATTTTGCGATTTTTTTCAGCGGAACGAAAAATCACGTGATCGACGCGTAAAAAATTTTCTTATTATTTCAAATAAGAATACTATATATATAAATAAACACCAAAATCATAATTTTTAATAGTATTCTCAATATAATAAACATTCTTTTCTTTTGGAATATATGATTAACTGATCGGTTTTTTTGTCGGTTTTTTTATATATAAAACCGACGGTTAACCGGTCGGTCTTGGACTGAAACCGAACCGTAACCGAACCGATAAAAACCGGTTATAATCGGTTATAACCAAACTTTTGGCATCCCTAATATATACCATCTGGAAACTGCTCTCGTGGTACTTTAACTAACTTAAAAATGATTAGTGGAGGAAGCTTAGTGCCATCTGCAAGGCAAGCAAGGGTTACTGTAAAATGGGTACGTTCATGGCCTGTTGTAAGGATTGAGACTGTTCGTTTTCCACGTTCTTCAATGGTTGTTTGACTTGGCAAATTGAATGCCATAGGGGTTTCATCCATGTTGCCAATCAAATTTAAAGGATAGTTATGCTCAGTTCGTAGATAAAGAAGGTATGATAAAAAATTTTGTTGTTGTTCGTTATATTCCTCAGGTAATCTTTGTGCAACTGTAGTGCTTCGGCGGTTTACCAATGAATGACGGGATATAAATCCATCCACCCACTTATGTGAAAATTGACATTTATGAATATCAGGATACTGGGAACGGTATTCTTGTTTATGAGCCAAACTTCGAGCTTTTGCACCAATCATATATCTGGTTACAGTTTTTAATTGTCTTCTTAGGTCACGAACCCACTCCAAAAGTTCCTCTTCAAGTTGTGGATATTTTGGTCGTGCACCAATATTAAGTTTTTGAACATATGGAGCCGCACACATCAAGTTAGTTTTTTTATTTTTCCAGTCGCGAACCTGTTTTGGTTCAATCCCATACTTATTTGCAGTTGCCCGAATACTATGTCCATTTTCATGATAGAACACAACCATCAACTTTTCGCGAGCATTCCATTGTCGACGCTTTTTTTGTGTATTTATTGCTCGTCGTGCACCAAAATTTCCCTTTGGCATTTTTAGGATACTATATAAGAGACTAAAAGTAAATTATATTTCAAAAATTTCGTGTTTTTTTTCAAGGTTCGAAGTAGGTAAATAGGGGGTAATAGGATCTGCTTTATCAAGGAGGGTATCATGAACATCACGGATGATAACTCAAAAAAGAAGTATTGACATCTACTCTGGAAAATTTTCTCGTTTCTTATAGCCAATTTCTAAATTTTTGATTTTGACAAAATGCCATATTTGTTTCAAAAAAATTTTATTTTTATATTTTTTAGAAATAAATATATGTTCAGAACAACGAAATAGATGAAATAAATTTTATTAATCGTTTGATTTGATTGATTTATTTATATTACAAAATTTGTGATCACAATACCGCAGTATAACGTAAGCGGCCCGTTATATAATAACCCTTATATAATATCCCCCTTATATAATATCCCCCTACAAATAGTACCCGGTTCCTCACAAAGTACCCATGGGTACTAATCAATTTAAAAAACCGAGTTCTTGATTAAGACCCGGGGTACTTTATGCAGTGGCCAACGGTAATATGAATCAGTAATGCGGCGTAATTTAATTTGAGATAAGCCCAACCACCAATCAAGAAAAGATGATTCGAAATATTGATGATTCGGAATTGATCCATTTATCAAAGAAGGTTTTCAATTATTTTTTGTCACTTACACTGATTTCCTGATTGTTTTATAGAAAATTTCTTATAAAAGGACAACGTTCTCAACTTACTCTTCCTGTAGAAAATTAAAAAATTTTCTTATAAAAGGATAACGTTTTCAACTTACTCTGACTATAATTAAACTTTCATCTATCAAAAAGAAAAAATCAAAATGATGAAGCAAACCTATATTCTTGTAGTCATTTTATTCGCTATTCTTTCAATAGCCAACGCTATTCCACTTCAACTTTATAAAAGAGCCACTACCTTTGTCGTATGCCCTACAGGATCTCCAAACATAATCACTGTATCAATTCAACCTGATCCTCCCTTGGCTAATCAACCTGCAATTTTTACTATTTCCGGAACATTAAAGACTGGTGTCATTACCACAGGATCCAAACTTGTTATTTTTGTTCTGGATAATAATGGTAACACCTTAGGTGAAGCTTTAACCGATGATATTTGTAGTTTCCCTGGAATGACATGTCCGGCTAACTATTTTAGTTTAATAAGAAAAGTTCAAATATTAAACCTACCCGCAACATATAGTTTTGTAGTTCAGATTTTAGATGCTTCTGGTAAAACTTTAGGCTGTTCTTTGGGTACAGTTACTGGAGCTAATTAATTTTTTTATGGTCCTTTTATAACTATAAAATTCGCTTTTATATTCCGTTTTATACTTTTTCATTGTAATCATATTTTTAAATATTAAATAAATTATATTCCTTTTGTTATCAGTGAACTAATCGAAGTAACCATTTCATTTATTATTAATTGAATTCAAAAAATTCAATGTCAGAAAATCTAATACCCATTCTTTCTTTTAATTGAATAACGATAACGTAATACAAATTTTGGATTCTAAAGTATTGAATATCAACAATCATTTAACTTGCATTGAATAATTTTTTTTAAAAATAATATTTTATGTTATTATTTGAAAAGCCATTTTGTTAATACAAATGCATCTGCAGGTCGACTGGTCGAGTGGGTGGTCAAAATTGTAATCTTGTTTTTATAATTATGCGTAATCAGATTAAATAAACTTGTTTTTTTCGTAGTCATTTGTTGTTTTAATTATTGATTTACGCCATTTATATATCAGTGTATTAAAATATTAAGATTGGTTAAGGAAAATTACGTCACAGAGTAGAACACGTTAATCATTTTTTTCGCGTGGTAAGTAAATAACAGATATTTGAAGTCATAGTATTCTGCTCGCCTCCCATGATTGAAGAAAGGGGCGAAGGGCCTTCTTATTAAATTTGATGGTTCATTTTGATAGATAAACCTGGAGTATAAAGTAGAAAATGTCTGTGCTAATAATGCAGTAAGGATTTGTATAATTGGTATTAAATAATTATAACACTATGTAATAATTATAATATTGGTAGTAATTATAATACTATATAATAATTACAATACTGTAATAATAGTTGCAACCTTACAACTTTCTAAAAATAATTATATATCACTTTTATTATTATAACACTCATATCACATGATGGGAAATATTATAAAAGTGCTTAATGTTAACCTCTCGAATTGAAAATGATGAAAGTGATGGAAATGATGGAAATGGAATTGATGGAAATCGAAAAAATGATAGAAATCGAAAGTAACTTTAAAAAGTAAGCTCTAGAGAATACACGTTTTTCGCTTTAAATAAAACATCTTTCATTTCAGCTATACAAATTGACTTTACATTTAATATTGTCGTAACTTCAAGAACTGAATCCACTTCTCCAAAAACTGAACTACATCTACAGAAACTGATACTACACCTTCAGCTTTGATGACAGAATTAAAAAAAATTTATGATGATTTGCCCATAAGAGCGCGTGTGTTCTGTGATACTCTTGCCACCAATGAAGCAAAAGCAGCTTATCTTGTGTCGATTAAAGATGTCATTAAATTGACTTTACATCTAATATTGCCACAACTTTAAGAACTGAAGCCACATCTCTAAAAACTGAAGCTACATCTACAGGAACTGATGCTACACCTTCAGCTCTGATGACAGAATTAAAAAAAGATTCACAAGAGCGCGTGTGTTTTGTGATACTCTTGCCACCAAATGAAGCAAAAGCAGCTTATCTTGTGTCATCGATTAAAGATGACAGAAAAAATATACCGCAGAAAAGGAGTATGATTAATGATTTGTTTTGTTTTTATTTATATTCAATAACAGAGATTTTCACATTTTCTCACTTAAATAACCTTCGTTTTCTCAATTTTTTTTTTCACCTACTTAATAGAGTTCCTTTATTAATCTATTATGTATCATAGCCATCCTGATTATCGTCATTAATTCATTAACAAGTGACTCCAATAATAAAAATAATGAAATGACTTCATATCTGCTGAGTGTGTTTATTGAACAAGTTATTGCCAAAATAATGGATTGATGCTGGAAGATGGGCTCTTCAATCTAAAATTTTTTCTTTGTAGTTTTTGTTTATTTAATTTGCGTAATAGATGTGCACTAGCAAATTGGAATAAAATAGTGTCATTAGCAAAAAATCCCCGGTCGTAAACCCTGCAGCGCGTACCATCCCTTCAATACCTACCATACCTAATATTTTTGGAAGTCATTTCTCCTTGAGTATACCCTCTATCAAAAAACTAAGGTTAGTTACAAACATAACTAAGATTACGTTCAGGCTGTAACCTTGGATGCAACTGATACCTAGTAGATCACGAAATATACACGTTAAACAGGTTAAGGAATTTATTAGCGATATTTAAAATAAATTATGCGTATAAAATAACTGTTTATTGATGAATAAATAAAATAAAAAAAAAAAAATAAATTTAAAAGGAAAACAGTCCACATCCGATGTTGGGATTTATTCATGCCTAAAGATTATAGGTCAAGAATTTCTAATCATGAAAACAGATGAGGATTTGTATTAGAAATGTCAGTCAATTGTTGTCCTTCAGGTATATCATAAAGGCGACATTGTAAATCTTACATTCTACTTTGTAGTAACATCTTTACTTAAAACATGTTTCTTGTGTCTATGTCTACATGGACTATTAATCGTAAAACTCGTGGATGGGACGGGAAATAATATAACTATCATTTGCGTTCAACCACACTTATGTAACACTTTTCACTTCAGACGAATGTACGATTAACAGATGAATTGGTTACAAAAAAAAAATCTTATTATCTGAACAAAGTAAATTACGCCCAGTTACAATAAATTATGAAGATAAAAAATGTATATTTGTGGCTTCAGGTATAGCAGATAGTATTATATCCATTTATTTTTTTTCGGTTTTTATCTGTATTTATAATTAATGTTTTACTAATAATATCATGTTGTTCTCGTTAAAGCAACTTCGGATTTTTTTGGATAATTTTTCAGATCTATCTTATGAATCAATTGACAATCAATTCCACACGAAGTGAAAACATCTGAAAACCTACAATGAGGAATAAATGAATATATATAAATAGCATCTGATGATTCATTGTTATCCGAAAAAAAATGTTGAGAAGAAATTCGTTAACTATGTGTAGCAAATTGGAATCTGAAAGAAAGAACTTGTATATAGAGACTACTAAGTCGCATATATATGTTCTGTATTAATCTTTCCTGAGAAATTCTTTTTTTTTGTATACGTTTTTTTCATTTTCGAATGAACTTTTATTTTATAAGTTGACAGATAATAATTCCTTACTATAATATGTGCAGAAATTACCCGATCCTTACAGCGTCTCCCCGAGAGTCTTGCCGCTTAACCACGCTTTTTTCATTAACTCGAATAACAAAACGTATACGGAAAAAAAATTCATCATGATTTTCTTCGCTTTGTTCAGAAAATTATGAAGGTAATTAATCGAAAATATGTGTATTACATGGATACATATTTTTAATTGGTTTTCTCAAAATCAAAGTTGACTGAAAAATTATTGTGTAGGACACGATTCTTGGTTTTGTTGGTCTCGATATTGATATGTTTAATTTGGTTTATTTTTTTCTTATTCATTTTACAGAAAATGTAATATAACACTTCTAGTCTGTTTCTTTCAATAAATCGCCATGCAATGATGTAATTCGTATATGGCTTAGCTAATAATTTGGAATTTAAATAAATATCTTTTTTATCTTTCTTTTTTTTTGAAAATAGCTGAAGCTGCTGCGATATATTGTCTGAATTCTATGAAGGGCACTATAATTTAAGTACAGGAGGTATGGTAAAAAAAAAATCTTACTCTTGTCGACATGAGTTGAAACGGACTGTTTACGAAAAAAAAATGATGCGATTACTATTTTTCTCAAATAACGTAACAAAATATTTTGGAAATCAGACATCTAAGATATCCCTTTAGGAGTTGCTAAAGGCTAATCCTCGTACATTTAATAAAAAGCAAGTGTATTTAATGTTCATTAGATTCCTTACTAATTATTATTTAAGAGCTACGCATTCAATTTGATAAAAAATAAACGTTATCACAATGTAATTTGACCATATTTGATGTAAATTTTGTATATAGTGTTCCTTAACAAAAAAAGCAGGAAGTTCGAAATATCATAATTATATATGTCTTATTTTTTTATTGATTTCTCCATAATGATAATGATGAGTCGATCGGCGGCGCAGTGTACCTGTATTCACGTGGTGTCACAAAATCCTGGCTAAAAAAACTCATCTCTGCGATTTTTAAGATCTCTCTCCCTCTCTATATTCGTGCTAAAGCGTATTTGTGAGTTAAATCGTTAACTTACGGCACACGAATCATCATATTGATATTTCAATACATCAATCCAACTTAATTCTAATTTAAAAAAAAAAATTGTAAAGAACAATGTCTACCAGCGAATTAGCTATTGTTTATTCTGCTCTTATCCTCGCTGACGATGGGATTGATATTACTGTATGAAATCTTTATCTTATTTTATTTAAAGAAGTGAAAAAGGAAATCGATAAAATAGATTAACCTAAATATAGGGAATTCAAATAAATTTTTGGAATTTTTGATCTCTGAATCAATCTTTCACTTTAACTTAGGCTGATAAATTACAAGCTTTAACAAAGGCGGCTGGTATTGATGTTGAACCAGTTTGGGCAAATTTATTCGCCAAAGCTCTGGAAGGAAAAAGTGTTAATGATCTATTAATGAACGTCGGTAGTCGTAAGTATCAATTTATCAATTTCCAGAAAAAATTTTTATCTTCAAATTTTAGTAAATATTAATTTGTTCAAAAAAAATTTCCAAATAATTAGCTGGTGCAGTTGCTCCATCCGGTGGTGGTGCTGCTGTTGCAAGTGGCGGTGCTGCTGAAGAAAAGAAAGAAGAAGAAAAACCAGCTGCTGAAGAAAAGGAAGAATCCGATGAAGATATGGGATTCGGTAAGAATATTTTTTTCGCAAAATTATTTAGAATTAAAAGCATCTTTGATTGTTTAATTAAAAAAAATATTTTTTTTTTTTCAGGTCTTTTCGATTAAAAATATTAAAGTATACATATTTCAAAATTTAATGATTTGAATTTAGTTGAAACAAAAAATTTTATTTCTGTAAATAAAATTTATTATTTTTGTTGTGAAAATAAATCAAAATGGTGTTTTAATATGATCCACTTCAAAAAACGTGAAATGATTCGATTCTCAAAGTTTCATTTCATGTCCTGAAAAGTGGTATACTAAAATTTATTGCAAATACAACTCATCCATTTGATGTTTTTAATTTGACTTCGTCAAAGTCTTCGGAACAGGTGTTTGTACATTTTTGGGAAAACACATGGTTTGCAGTAAAATTTAAAGATAAATTTTAAAATAATAAAGAGGGAAAGAAAAGAAAAAATCATATGGTCACAAGATAAATTTTAATTATGCATTTTAGACGATTAAATTAAGGCTACGTTCTTATTTCTGCACAATCTATCATTAATAATCATCACCACGACTGACAACCTAACAAATAAATTAAAAACTTAATAAAAATTTACTAATTAAGTTAAAATTATAATAAGATGCTTACTTCTTTGCAAGTAGGTCTTAAAATTAAAGTATGTTCAAATTGTGCCGTATACGAGCCTTTAATATCAACCAATGGTGGATATGATTCCACGATTCCAGAATCGACTAAGTTCTTCAACGCGAGTGCATATTTTGTTTCGCCAATTCGATCAAGGTAACGTCGACAAAACGGCAATGTACCAAAATTCTTGTTAATAGTATTTAACAACGATTTCGCCTTGGCAACTCTTAAATTATAAATATGTCAATATGTATCAAAGCAAAACCAGAAATAAATTTTTAGCTTGTAAATTACCGAAGAGGAACGTGTCCAACATCATGACGTTTTCCATAGTGACTGCATTCACCGTCCTCGTGCACATAACCTTTACCAGTACTGCCAAAAGTCTCAATAGCAAAGCATTCCCCTTCCTGTTCAACATAAAATATGTTTATTTTCTTTCAAAAAGACATTGAATGGATAATTTTCAGCTCACCTCCATCATGGTTTGATCACCTCCTTTCACAATTGGCACGGATTTTCCTGCATGAATCTGATATGGAAGTATAGAATGTCCATTCAAATTACGTATTGGCTTGACTATTAGAATAAATGATCTGTTATAAAATCACGAAATTCAAAAGTAGATATTATTACAATTAAAACAAATTTCATACCCTGATAAGTCTTTCCGTTAATTTCTACTTCATAACTTTCCATAACTTAAAGAATGAATCAATTAATATAAAAAAAGTGGTAGATAAATATATATTATCAGGAGAACATACCTTCTTGGATAGCAGCTCCAATATCACCGAGTCTTACGTCGATACCGGCTTCCCGAACTCCAGTATTTGTTGCATCTTTTACTGCTTCTTTGAGTTTATCATAAACTGGATTAAAAGTGAGAGTGAACGCACAATCTACTATACGACCTATAATATAATTTTATTATTATTCAATACTACGACTCTTATATTATAATTACATACATTATCTACTGTATAAATTTACCATTGACATGTGTGCCAATATCAATTTTACAAACATCATCATATTGAAGAACCGTCTTGTCACCGGCATTTGGCGTATAATGAGCCGCACAGTGATTAAGTGAACATCCTGTTGGAAAGCCAATACCTATAAAGGAAGTATTTAAAAAATATACATAAGTAAAAATGAATGTTTCCTCTCGGATAGACCATTGACTCGTGAAAAAATTAAAATTAATGGTGAGTAATAAGGAATTAACTTATTCTTGTTTGCAGAAAAATTGTTCTTATCCACTATGAAATAAAAGGATAACCACAGAGTGTTGCAAACGGACTTTGCAAATAGGGAATTTCTTTATTTACAATTTTACATTGGATATGAAAATAATAATTACCAGCTTCCAAACCTTTCTCCTCTATCAATGTACGAGTTCCATTCTCAATTAGCTCACAAATGTCAATCATAGTCATTCCCGGCTTAATGGTTTTTTGAGCATATTGTCGTACCTAATAATTAATAATATTCGATTTGATTATTATTTCATTCGTAAAAAATGGCTTACGAAGCTTTATAATAATCGAACCTGTCTGTGTACTTCCGCAGCGTGTCTAAGATCATTATAGTATTCATAATGCATTCTATCAAGGTATCTTTTCTCTTCATTAGTTATCCTTTTCAAATTGCTAGCCGAAAAATTACGATAAGCACTTATCATTATAGAATGTAAATCGTAAGAATTTAATCATGACCAACATTTAAACCTACTCGTTTTTATATTCACATATTTCTCCCTCTGGATAATTGCCATCGGGAAAAAATCTACTAACTGGGATCGATGGTGGCTCGGTTTGAGTTATTTTTCCATTACTAGCATCATTAACACCATTATTTGTTGCCCCAGATTTCTTTTTCTTTTTTTTCTTTTTCTTCTTTTTTGTAGCTGTAAAAGATAAAATCGAGAAAAATTACGATCAAAGGATTAATTTCCTGCAAGCAAAATATTATTTTAAATTGTTGCCTAAAAATTTGTATTTTACCTTCAGAATCGGGGGTTCCTCCTTCTGCTTCTTCCTCTTCGTCATTTTCGTCTTCAGCATTAGTAGCTTGTTCTATTGGATTTTTCTCGGTTTCGAGATTAACCTTCACTTTATTCAAATCGAAAGCTGAAAGTTTATAGTTATCCTGCGCTTAATAAGCATACTTGAGAAACTGTTAAATAAAAATACCTGAACCGTTTGTTTGTTCGCCATTTTCAGTAGAGGTAACTTTCTTCTTCTTCTTTTTCTTCTTTGAAGGAGAGTCAGTAATTGAACTGGTATTTTCCAATAGTTCTTCCGATTTTGTCTCTTCTTCTACGTGTTCGATATCTTTAGCCATTTTTTTTTTTTCTTTAGAAAGAAACCTATAAAAAATAACCTCATCCCAGTTTACTCTAATTTCTTTTACTAATTATTGCGTAATCCCCCAATCAAATTTTCCAACTGGTGAACGCTGCGCCTCGGATTAATTTGTTATGTTCAATATAAAAATATTTCTTAAACAAAAACTTATTACAGCATTATCTTTAAAAACAATCCCATATTTTGTGTTTTCTATATATTTTAAATAAAAAAGTCTCTGATTTTACTTTATACATTTTAAATATCGATATAAATAATTATACAATAGGTTTAAATAAAATCGTATGCACAAACTAAATAATTTAAATGAATTACAAGTGTATAAAGAAAAAAAAAATGATAGGCTAATGATTCTTATGCGAAGAATTTTTAGGTATTAGTAGCAGCCGAAATACTAGATGATGGATTTGATTTTTCTAATGAATTCGAGTTCAATGCTTCATTCATCTCATCGAAAGATGCGAAGTGTCGTTGTTGAAGTAGTTTTATATCTTCAAAAACTAAATTGAGAATAATAGTATTAGCAATGATATTTATAATTGAATGAAATACTTACTAAGTACTTACCTTTGTCAGCATATGAAGTATCCATTAGATAGACTTTTTGAAGAAAATTTATCATGGCTCCCGTGCTAACAGCCATTTCTTCAAGTGGTAATGAATTATAATATGAATGGATTATCTCAAACGGATTTTCTGGTGCTGGTTCAAGACATAATGTAATAACTTCTGCAATAATGTTCCAAAGTCTGATCTCTTTTTTTTTTAAAAGAAAATTAAGAAAATTATATAGTAAATAAATAAATATTTTAGGAAGTAAACATTTTTACAAAAACATTACCTTTTGTTTTCCAGGCTGCTATAGTATCAAGTTTTAATGGATTATCAGTTTCCAATTTTTGATCACCTTGAAGCTGAATTAATCTCTTATGATTTGACCTTAGCTACAAAGTGCATCAAGATTTGTTAGCAAACTTTCTTATCGATTCCCATAGTGAAATTAAATATTTACCCAAACATAAGGACATTTGTATCTTGCATATCCAGCTATCAGGAAAACATGGTTAGTTTCATCCTATGATAATAAATAAATAAATATTAAATAATCATATACAAATTAGTTAAATTGATTCACAATATTACTTTTTCTAAGTCTTTGTCTAAAGGACTAGATGGAGGTAATACTAAATTCATAAAATCGGATCCGTTACTTAAACTAAATAATTAATTAACAGATAAATTAAGTGTTTTTTAACAGTAAAATTAACTAAATGCATAAAACTTACGTTCGTCGCGTTTTTGGCGAAAATACTGCATTACTTCTGCAATAAATAAGGAGTAAAATTGAAATTAAATGAATAAAAGTCAAAGAAAACGAAGTTTACTTACTGAGACTTTGCAAGTGACAGAGAACTAGAATTATAACTTGATCTATTACTTAAATTTGATTGTGATGTATTCTTATTATCGATATATACACGCAATAAAAGTTCTTCTCGACCTCTCAAATATACTTCAAAGTGTTTGAAACCCTAATGATAATCGAAAAAAGCTAAATAATTTTCACTTTAGAGAGTAAATAAAGAATTGCAAAAGAAATACCTTCAAGCAGCCTACGGAAAGGCAGTCTGCAAGAAACAGAGATAAACGAGCAGTCTCTGAATTTTCTTTTGGATTAGCAGGCATATAGAAGAAATTAAACGTTATTTTTTTAGTTTGAAAATCTTAGCACGCGACATGATAAACCGATCCTTGAATCCCATATTATTCGATAAATGCAGATGATCTACGCTTCCAGAAATTTCCCGAATTTGGTATGTAAACATTATTCATTCAACTGTTTTAACTTTTGTTTCAGTTCTTACTTCTTAGATCGCATTTCAATTTTTCAGGCAAATAAAGTACAATAATGGGCGGAGACGAAGAATTTTATGTTCGTTATTAGTAGGTATTTTTTTTATTTTACTTATGTTTTGTTACGATCTATATATTGTTTTATTGACTGTTTAATAATTCTATTAGCACTGGTCACATGGGACGATATGGCCACGAATTTCTTGAGTTCGAGTTTCGCGCTGATGGACGATGTCGTTATGCTAATAACTCAAATTACAGAAATGATAGTTTGATAAGAAAAGAGAGTAAGCATCGCTTTTCTAATTATAAAAGTTTTATTTCAACAATAATAATTTTTCCCTTTGACAAGTTAGCATTAATAAACAAATTAATTTTTCTTATTTCGATTTAATTACATGTTTAATTTGTCATGATGATCCATTCAAAAGTGTATGTAAGTCCATTAATGATGAAAGAATTGAAACGAATTATCCAAGAAAGCGAGATCATGAAGTAAGTTATTTAGTTGGATGATTTCAAATATCTTTTCTTATATTGAATATCTGACATAATTATTTTACAGAGAAGACGATCAAAAATGGCCAAAAAAGAATGTTGTTGGGCGACAAGAACTTGAGATTAGATTAGGCAATGAACATATTTCATTTGAGGTAACTTTAAAACATCATTCATTTTGTTGCAAGTTTATGTACGTGATTTGCTTTTACAGTTTTAATTTATATATATGTATTCCTCAACAGACTGCAAAAATTGGATCTCTTGTTGACGTACAAGAAAGTGATGATCCCGAAGGATTACGCGTATTTTATTATTTAGTACAAGATCTCAAATGCTTGGTATTTTCGCTCATTGGGTTACATTTCAAAGTATTTGTTTTATTTGTTTATCATTTTGATTTATGGTCTATTTATACTATGAATTAACTTTCTTTTTTATAATTTCTTAGATCAAACCTATCTAGGAAGTATTTCATAATTTATATAATTTTCCAATAAACTAACGATTCTAAAACATGTGTTTTTTCCTAATGGAAATTTAAAACTTAAATTCTCATAAATTAGATGAAACTCGACCTGGGTTGAGAATGTTAGGATTGTGCAATAAGGCTTAGACATATACTGCAAAGTAATTATATTTTAAACATTGGGACTTTTATATAACAAAACAATACTAATAAAAATAATAAAAATGATATAAGTTTTATAAAATTTTTGCCAAAGCTTTATTTAATCAGATTACTATTTGTTATATCAAAGTCTAAAGATTAAATTCCTAACAGACTGTTTTAAAAAGAAAAAGGATATTAGATAATATAAATTGTTACATGTAAATAAGAGTAATATCTGTATTTAAGATAAAATTTTATAATTGTTATTTTTTTTTTACATTAAATTTATAATTACAAATATCTAAATCTTAATATTTTGAGGCTTATATTAAATTTTAATCAAATTAAAATTTATTATTATATTTTATAAATAAAAAATATATTAAATAAATTTAGTTAAATATTGAAAATTTTAATTAATAAATTAATTTTTTTTTAGATAAAAGTTTATTTATAAATTTATAACTGATAATAAAAGTACTACTGGCTTTTCTATCTACTATAGTAAATTACTTAAATAAATAAATCTAATCTTATTATAAGTATTTATCCATACTGTATTACTGCTAACTAAATATTTTTAAATTTAAAGTAAAGTATAGCATTAATCTTAAAAAAACACTATAATATAATTAATCATAAACCAAAAATTTAAAAAATAATATTATAATTAATTCTCTTCAAATTTTATACTATTAATTATTTTAAATAAGAAAAATTAGAAAAAATATATTTAAAATTTTGCAATTCAAATTAGAAGAAAAAAATTTTTGCTATTTTGATTTTTTATTAATACCTACATGTAATTCATCTACTAATATTCAATCACAACATAGTTTTTAAATTTTTTGTTAAAATAAATGAAATTTGTTTAATAATAGAATTATTTTTAATAAATGAATTAATAATATTAAATAAAAAAAAAAAACTATTTTTTTATTAATTAATAAAATTAATTTAATTTTCTATATGTTAATAAAACTATAGCAAAGAAAAATCATTGTTAAATTAACTTATTATTTTCTTTAATTCCATTTTTATAATAATATAGTTGTAAATTAATTATTATTTTCTTTTAATTTATAATATAGTTATGAATTGACTTATTATTTTTTTTTTTGATTTTATATTATTATAATTACAAATTGATTTATAATTTTTTAGTTTTTTCTGATTCTTTACTATATAATTTACTAACAAATAGTCTTAGGTTTAGGTTTTTTAAATTTAAAATATTAAGATATTTCAAATTTAAATAAAATATTATATTATGCAGTAAAAATTTAATTTTTTGATTTTTTTTTACATTTTTGTTTATTTTTTATGTGGTTACAGTACATTTTACTGAAAGCCATTTTGCTGAAAGGACATTTCCCCAAAAATAGGGCCAATATTATGCAGAATTATAAATAACTCAGGCTAGAGATTATTTTTCAGCAAAATGGCTTTTGGCAAAATGTCCTAATATCATTTTTGCATGAATTTATAGGGTTTATAAGAAGAGAGTACAGATTTATTAATTTTTTTAAACTTATTTCTATTTGAACCTTTACTTAATTTTCAATTTAAGTCTCAATTTAAGTTTTAACTTTAATTTTAATTTCAACTTGATTTTCAACTTGATCTCTAACTTGATTCTTCAATTAACTTGAACTTCAATTTGAATTTAATCTTAATGGAAAATGCATATTTTTGAAAGAATCAAAACCAAAATAATGAGAATCAAAAAGTTGAAGTTAAAGCAACTAATTATTGTAAAATATTTGAAATAATAAGAAAGATTTTTGTAAGATATTTTACTACCTTTAAAATTTTAAAAAAAAGTAGATATATTTTTTTTTTATGGAAAAGTGTAAAAGCTTTAATAACTTTATATTTTTTCAAATGATATTTTTTTAGAAGGAAAAAATTTAAAGATTAAATAAGAATTTGCAAAATAAATTAATCCATTTTAGTAAAGTTCAACTTTGATATGTAGGTATTGATAATAGAATAATTACAGTTGTCTTTTTATTCAAATAAATAAAGAATTTGAGGATTTATTTTATTTTAATATATTAAAATTACAAGATATTGAATTTTTTTTTGTTTAACATAGTTATTCCATAATTTATTAGGAAGAAATTATAAAATTAAACAAGAGTTCTTCATGATCCCCCAAAAAATATTACAAATATTCCTCCAAAAACAATCACAAGATTTTACATTTTTTTATTGTTTATTCAATTTTTTCAAGCTATTTTTCCAAAGAATTTTCATTTTTAATACATTATATTCCCAAAATATGATCATGGAAAATTAAATTTTTTATTGTTTATCCAAATCTTTCCAAGAGATTTCCCCAAGAATTTTCATTATTCTCTCCTGATTATATATAATCACCAACCTTTCCATATGATAATCTTAACAGAAATTGTATTATCAGTCAGACAAAGATTTTTTCAATACTATTTTCCCCATTTTTTTTTGGACATTAAATTCACTTTGTTTATTTCATTTATTGGTTTAAAATTACACAAAATAGCGAACAAATGGCGAAATTTTCGTTCAAATTTAGATTGAATGGATATGATCACACATACTAAAATTTTACTTGTACATTAATTTGACAAGATTTGATTCGAACGTTAGCTTAAAATTAAGTAAAATTATTTTAAAGTAATCATACAAATGGAGAAATTTTACATTTTAAATATGTAATCAATTTAGAATGAACTTTGATTGCGCATTCTATTTTTATTTTATGCACAAATTTTTTTAATTTATTTCGTCTCAAATTTTGTCCTCGAAGATCTCAGTTTATTAATTAAGTATTAAGTTCGATCTTAGTAATATTTAGCACATTTTGTTCAAACTTCAATAAACAAACAAACTTAACAAATAATATTTTGTTTTTTTTTAAAAAAAAAATGGATTTATTTGTATTTATTGAACAAAAAAAAAAAATCGAACAAAAAAAAAAATGATACAACATAATATGATAAGTACATAAAAGTATATAAATTTACAAGAAATTAAAAATGAAAAAAAAATATAAAAGTGAAAAAAATATTATGTAAATATTAAAAATAAAATATTATTATTGTCAAAAAAAATTCTCTTCGATTGAATTTTCAACGATTGATTCTGGTCCCAATTTCAGGTAATTATTGAAGTCATTTGTGAACGATCCATATGGTTTTGATTCTCCCGTCCAGCAGGAATCGTGAACATCATTTGTGGACGCATCATTGTCTAGTTTTATATAACTCATGTTCAATCCATTGTCATCATTGTTTGATTTTATATTCAAGGAGTCGTTATTAATGATTGGTTCATTATTATCATTGTCTGATTTACAAATCATTTGCTTTAATTGATCATTAAGTGTTTTCTTAAATTGACCCGAAATTTCTTTAAAACAACTTTTCACTTCTTTTGGTTGTATACTCCAAAGATAACTAGCAATCTTTGAGTGTTCCTGCATACTATAGTTGTATCCTAATGATCTTAATTCTTCATTAAGTTGTTTTCTAAAAATAATAAAGGCATTTCCTCCATTTTTTGTAATCAGCTCCTTAATTTTTTTACTGCTCATATTTTCATAATCATAATTATCCTCTGATGAACGTTTACAATTATTTTTTATATAATTCTCTACTCGATTATTATGTAATTTTTTTATCTTTTCTGAAACTTCTTTATAGTAATCTTTTACTTGTTCTGGTTCACTACCCCATAATGATCCAGCCAGAGGAGACAGTTGCTGCATGGTAATACGTACCCCTAATATTTCCAGATGTTTATTGAGTGTTTTTCGGTATACCATAAAACCATTCCTTTTGTTCATAATACTCATGTCTTTGATTTTCTTATTTTTTTCATTTTCGTTGACATATTCCTCCACGTTTATGATTGGCGGAAAATTTGGTCTGAAGTATTCAGAAATTAAATGGTTAAAGTAATCACCATACAAGGCTTGCGCGTACGAAGGATCATTATGAAGTCTATTGAAATCACAAGGCACATTGTTATGTATCAAATAATGTAAAAAACATTCATTTTTCAAAGGGTTTTCAGATTGAAGCATTTCGGTGGGTTTGTTGACTTTGTCCATCCGTATTATCACGTGCTAATGCTAAGCCACCCTAATTAAAAATTATTTAAACAATCCTCTACTATAGAAAGTAAAAAATAAAGAGTATTAAAAAAGTCAAGTTTAGCTTCTTTCAATGTTTAACTTCGAAATATTTTTGTAAATAAGAAACTACAGAAGAAAAAAAAAAGAAGTTATAACAAGATTTTGGTAAGAAAAAAATAACCGAAAAGAAAGAAATAGAAATAGAAAAACAAGCTTAAAAATAAAAAACCTACCGTAAGTTAGATGGGTTGTTAACTACGTTAGATGGGTTAAAACGGATTTTTATATTAAGTTTTTTTTGTCTTAACGTAAGGTAAAATCAAAAAAAAATTTTTGAATGATATAAACGAGTCTTTGTTTCTTTATATATATTAAAAATTCGGTACTTTATAATCCGGTACTCCGAAACTTCTCCGTACTATCAAAAATAAACATCCCTTTCATTTTATTGTTATTTTTAAACATCCTTTCATAATAATCCTTTTTAATACAAGCGTACAAATGCAGATTCACCTAATACAAAATCCCTTTTAGGGAAGAGCAGTTTTAATTTATCAATAAACATGATCGAATTTTCAAATTATTAACCGAATGACTAAACAACGTGATGGACGTTTTCCTAGTTTAAGAACTTATTTGACCAAAAGCAGGTAAATAAAATATACATTAGACATCTCATCATGTATAAATCATGTGATTATTCAAAATCTATTTTATCTTTAAGAAAATTGAGATGACATATGGTAAAACGTGTGTTGGAAAATCAGTTTTGTTCGTTACACAGCGTGTACTAAAAAAAAAAAAATAATAATTTGACGTAGACGTAGATAAGGAAAAAATCAAAAATGCATAGGTTAATATAAATTTATCTAAGACAGTACGGCAAGTTGTCTTTCGCTTTGCTCCGGACAATTATTATTGTATAAAATCTTTGTTTAATATAATATACTTAATTTGACGGAAAAAATGAGTGAAATTCATAAACTTTGAAGTACTTAAAAACGTTTTTTACGATGCCATACATTACGTAAAGCATACAGTAAATTGCTTGGGAGTTCTTCCGGGATCTTGACCCGATCTTTTCCTGGACTGGAGGGCTAGACCGTTAAAAAGGTTTTTTAACTAGCACAATTTTTCCGATAAGATCATAGTGATCGTACAGTAATAATGATAATTACGTAAAATTATGATTATCATTATTATCATTAGTGTTTATCATGATAGGCATGATAGGCTAGATTATCTGTTATCTCTCATGAAATTATAAAAGCTTTTTTATTTTTTTTAACATTCGAGTTTTTTTAGTCGTTTGATCAAACTCTTATTGTGAAATATTATGGCCAAAGGAGATGAGCCAGAGTCGAGTAAAAAAGCTAATAAGTAAGCTTAATTTTAAGAAGTTTCTTTTTTTTTTTTAACAAAAATTTTATTAATTTCATTTTGTTATTAAATAAGTTCTGAAATTATCTTAACTGATAAGTCTTCCGGCACTACTTGGTCTTTACCTTCTCCAGTAAAAGCTGGGGGTAAAATTCCGTCACAACCAACAGCTGTGATAGTTCTACCAAGAAGGTTGATAAGAATTTTTTTTTTTTTTGTTCTTTTGCTGATTACTGTTGTGTCATGCGCTGAATCCTTGCGAAAATATTTTTACAGTTCAAATACTCAATCTCTTACGGTTTTAGATAATCGTACCAATAAGCTTTACGAAATTCCAATCGAGAACAATACTGTATCTGCACTTAAGTTTAAAGAAATTACTGCAGATCCTGTTCCTGGATCTCGTGAAGAGGATGAGAGCGGTAAAGGATTGAGGTAAATTAATTTCATTGATCTAATATTTAATCGGAATTTAAATTGATTATTGTTTTATTACTTCACTTTTGAACTTGTTAATAGAGTATATGATCCAGGTATTTAAACCTTTAATTTGTTTTGAATTTCCAAATTCATCACGTTGATATTAATTTGCCACACTTTAGCATTTCAAAATACTGCGGTTGCGCAATCGAAAATCACTTACATCAATGGCGATACTGGCGTTCTAAGATATCGGTACATTTCTTTTTATCTAACTAATTTCCGCATATTGTATATATTGTATCTAACTCAATACCACGCGGTAATGTTTTATATAGAGGTTATCCCATTGAACAACTTGCTGAGAAATCTACATACATTGAAGTTGCTTATCTTTTGATTTACGGTGAACTTCCATCAAAACAACAGTATCATAACTTTTTTAATGAGGTTATGCATCATACATTTGTACATTTTAATGTTGCTGAATTAATGCGTAACTTCAATTATGATGCACACCCAATGGGATTATTTATTAGTGGTGTTGCTGCTATGAGTACTTTTCATCCTGATGCTAATCCGGCCTTAGCTGTAAGATTCATTTTATTATTATATTTTCATTTGCAAATTAAATTCGGAATTTATTTTATTTTATTTTTTTTTTCTAATTAGGGATCTGATTTGTTTATCCGTGATGAAAAAGTTCGAAATAAACAAATTTTCAGATTATTAGGAAAAACACCAACCTTGGCAGCGTGAGTATGAACTCAAAATTCCCTTCTGACATTTTTAAATTTTTTATCTAACAAATTATTCTTTAATCATTAGTATGGCATATCGTCATCGTATTGGACGGTAAGATTTAGTTTAATTCATTACTTTAGTAAAAAAAAAAAATGCTTTATATATTATTTTGTCGTTATTTTTTAGTGTGTACAATGTTCCACAGAATAATCTTTCTTATACAGAGAATTTCTTGTATATGCTTGATCGATTGTCCGAAGAAAATTATAAACCAAATCCAAAATTAGCCAAAGCTCTTGATGTTTTATTTATTCTTCATGCTGGTATGATTAATTTAATTTAATAATAGTTGTATTATTTTGAAATTAAATATCTCAGTTCTTTAGAGATCTGTTGAAACAATTTTGTGATTGTCTGATAATCATTGTCACTTGCCTATTGCTTTGCTTCAATTTTAGATCACGAGTTGAATTGTTCAACAGCAGCAATGCGTCATATAGGTTCTTCTTTGGTTGATCCATACAGTGCAGTTGCTGGTGCTTCAGCTGCTTTATATGGTCCACTTCACGGAGGAGCTAACGAAGCAGTGTTGAGAATGTTGGAAGAAATTGGATCAGCTGATAAAGTTCCTGGATTTTTAGAAGAAGTAAAACAAAGGAAAAGAAAACTATTTGGTTTTGGCCATAGAGTATACAAGAATTATGATCCTCGTGCAAAGATTATTAGAAATATTGCTTATGAGGTAAAAGAAGTTTATCTAGGCCCTTTATGTTAAGAGGGTTATTTTTCATCAATTAATTTTATTATGATTGATAGGTGTTTGATGTTTGTGGACGTGAATCACTTATAGACGTTGCAGTTGTATTGGAGAAAGCTGCACTAGAAGATGAATATTTTGTAAAAAGAAAACTATATCCAAACGTAGACTTTTATTCTGGATTAATTTATAAAGCAATGGGATTCCCAACAGATATGTTCCCAGTTTTATTTGGTAAGTACTTTTATGTACATTTTTAGTACCCATAGGGTAAGTTCTATTCTGACTTTATTTTATTTGATGTGTAGCAATTCCACGTATTGCAGGGTGGTTAGCTCATTGGAAAGAATCATTAGAAAGTAAGGATGCAAAAATTTGGCGTCCAAGACAAGTTTATGTTGGACCAAATGTTAGATCTTATATTCCATTAGAACTTCGTGAAGAAGAAACAAATTATGATGTCACTAACTTTACAGTAAGCGTTTGGCAAAAATAATTTTTTACCTTTCTCTTTTATCGTTAATTAAAATTAACAAATTGTTTTTTCTGCAGGATCCATTTACTAAAACGTTTAGTAAAAGAAGTTTAGTGGCTGATTTTGATAACAAAAAAACAGTATCAAAATTATAAGTTATAATTTAAAATGTTTTGTTAAGTTGGTATTATTTTATGGTTTGTATAGATAAAACGATAGTAATTTATTATTATGTAGTTATATATATTATTTTTTTTTATTATAAATAAAAAAAAACTTATAAACATCGAAATTTTGCGATTTTTATTGTGTAAAATTTATAACAAGTTCAAGAACAATATAAAAAAGTGGTTAACCACAGAAATTATTTTTGCAAATTGACTTAATTTGAGATAAATTGGCTATTTAAACAAATACTTTGGATAATTGGAAAAAATTTAAATAATTGTGTTTTGTCATTCATTGTTTTGATTGTTCATATATTTTATATATTTTTTATATAACGTTACAGTATGTAACGTTATTTGTTCTTGAGATTGATCGTCACAAAAAATTTCATGATATATGAATTTCACGAGACATTGGAATTTTAGTTTTTAGTACAGTAAGTAAAGGAATAACAAATTACAGTATTCAATACTTTAGAATTCAAAATTTGTATTACGTTATTCAATTACAATAGAAAGAATTTTCTGACATTGAATTTTTTCAAGTCTGAATTCAATTAATAATAAATGAAATGGTTACTTCGATTAGTACTGCAGGTTGCCAAGGGAGGGTCAGGTTTAATTGATACAGTGATTAGGTTTGGAGATCCTGTAGGGCATGCGGCAAAGGTAATGGCTCTTTTATATTATAAAGTTGATGTGGAATAGCGTTGGCTATTGAAAGAATAGCGAATAAAATGACTACAAGAATATAGGTTTGCTTTATCATTTTGTTTTTTTTTTTGATAGATGAAAGTTTAATTATAGTCGGAGTAAGTTGAAAACGTTATCCTTTTATAAGAATTCTGCAGGAAGAGTAAGTTGAAAACATTGTCCTTTTATAAGAAAATTTTCCATAAAACAATCAGGAGATCAGTGTAGTGACAAAAAATAATTGAATACCTTCTTTGATAAACGGATTAATTCCGAATCATCAAATATTTCGAATCATCTTTTCTTGATTTGTGGTTGGGCTTATCTCAAATTAATTAATATTTACTTGTAAAGCTTAACTTTAAATCCGCATATTGTCGAAAAATTCAAATTACACCGCATTACTGATTCATATTTACTTGAAAAAGAAAGAAACCGATCATTTTTGTTTTTTGAATAATTCCCATTCTTTGAATATTATTTCATTTATAAAATTACTTAATGTTTTTAATTCATTCGCAATGAACAATTTCTACAAAAGTTCACGATTTTAAATATTTAAGAGAGTATATTACCTAAAAATCCAACCGCGAGATTTTTTAATGAAATCAGATTATGAAAGACGCGAATTAAAAAAAAAATTATTGTATTTACATTTATTTATTTATAGATTTAAAAAGTTATACTAAAATAAAATTATAATGTTCAATGTTTTGGTTTTCTGGATTTCCATTTTCCCAACCAACCCCCACAATCTTTTATAACGGGAATATCGCATTTGACTTTGGCGTTTTATTAAAATATAACTGATATATTTTATGGTATCATCTACATGCTGGATATTCCTCTTTTTTGACCATTATTCATGCCATGTTTATTGGAATGATTTCATAACAAGTTGATCTTTACTACTTTATATTGAACTTATTGAAAAGTGGATTTAGTGGATAGTGAATTTGGTAGAACCCCTTAAGTTCTAATTAGAAAAGTTTTTAACTGCTATGAAATGATTAAATAGCCTGTAAGTTTTATGCTAAAAAGGAAAATGACAATAAATAACTTTTTGGCATGCTAAAAAGTAACTGTACAGCACAGTGTGTAAAAATAAAATGTATGACATGCGTACTGCAACTTACCTTACACGCTAATTTTTCTTTACTAAGTTTTACTTTTGATAATCTTTTATATAGTTATAGTAACAAACATTTTGGTCATGTGATAATTTGTCCAGCAAATCATCTTTTAATATTTCCGGAAATTTCGGTTACCTGGGCGGTGGAGTTTTTCTTTAGGTAGCCTTTCTCTTCCACGAAGGGTGGAGCTCATATAGTCAAACAAAGCGAAATACTATGTGATCCCTCCTGCGTTTACAATTATTGTTTCATGGTCATCACTCTTTTGTAATAAAAAATAAAAAAATTCCGAAAATTTGATGAATGATTTTCGGTCTTTAGATTCTTACAGATATTATTAACGTCTTTATAAATTGTGCTATAAACAAAAGACATGAAAAGTTTGGCTAATTGTAATACTATCGTATGAAGATTGTTGTACTCTATAACGACTGGTGTGGATACCCTTAGATACAAGTTGCTGATGATTCAATTTGGAGGGCAAATAAAAAAGATTATTAGATGTATGTAGTGTGTATGTAATATTCATTCACTATATCATTGAATTTCAAGAAACGAAAATTTGCAAAAAAAAATAGTACAAATTTTTATATTAAAAATTCTGGAGAAAATAAATCTTAATAAATATAATAAATATAGAAAAAATTCGAATAATTAATTACTGTAAATAATAACTGAAATATTTTTTTATATATTCTAACTAAATTCTAGCAAATTAAAACTTCTTACACCAATTTTTGTCACAAAATGTGAAATATTCATAATTTCACATCTCGTTTACCCATTCGAAAGAAAAGGAGTCAAGGAGTTGTACTGAACTACCGAGATCAAACGCTACACAAAAGGATTTTCTATAACTAACCAGCCGGAAGACATATATTAACGTCTAAAAATGAATTGATACAAAGGATTTACTTATTAATTCCGGAAATATGAGCCTTTTACGAAAAAAGATGGAATATAAAAAGCGGATCGACTTTTTTTTACAGGGCATAATTTAAATCATGTCAACCGTCGATGTGTGAACAGTATTAGGAATTGATTTATTTTTTTTTTATTTATGAATACATAAAATTTGAACCAGAAGCATTCAAAATCTGAACTATAAGGCAAATCAAAAATATGGTTAGAATATCTAAGAACAAGTTTGGAACCTGAGGTATACCAACAAATGGTAGTGGCTATCAATTATATTAATAGATATTTAATTGCAGTAGCAACATATCGTATATTGATTTAATAAAGGATCATACTATGTTATACTGTACATAAAACAATTCTTAACTGTACATCACCCATTAAAAGTTTATATTTACTGTATTATATCTTATATAACAATTACTACCCCGTTTATGGTAACACAAGAATTACGTAGACGTGACGGTTAGACTAGAGCTGTGACCTGTTACCCGTTTACCCGGATACAATCCGGGTATTTGTGAGTATCTGAGCAAACAGGTAATACCCGTGGTGCGCGGTCAACTATGTAAATCAAAAATATATCTTGACCCTTGTTTTATTATGGAATATTATAATATTCTAAGGATATTCCAAATTTAAAAGGGAGACGTCAAACTAAAAGCTAAGTTGATAATCATATTACATTGAAATAATATTTCTTTATCATAATGTGATATGTATTATTTTCGAAGTCACGTGATTTTATCGCAATGTCACTACAAAAAGACTGCAATAAATGTAACAAAAATTCTAACCTAAATAAATCATATTTTAATTTTATTATTTTTATAATTTTATTTCAATTTGTACATGAAGTAAATACTCAAGATCCATTTCCAAGTTTTACTATACCAACGGGAGGGAGGTCTGAGTACTGCTGGAAGTGCTAAACAACCATCGGATATCGGAAGTGCAGGAGCTACTCCATCAACTCAATCAGAGGGAAGTGCACCGTCAACTCAATCAACAGGAAGTGCTTCAAGCAATGATACTATACCAATAGTTAATTCAATTATTGGAGGGTAGAGATTTGATTTTAATCTTAGTTTGTTTATGTTTCTTTTTACATCCCTAGATTAAATAATAATGAAAATAGAAATAATATTTCAAATCCTGGAGTTACGAATAATGAAATATATGATGATAAACTGTTACTCCTACAAACATAGTAATTTCGAATAAAGGATCAAATTATAATAATCAACAAGGAAAACCACGTGAATTAGGAAATAACTCAACAAATAATGAAATTATTCAAAATAGTAGTCAGCCATTGAAAAAACAATTTTTCGACAAATTTTTTTAAGGAATAAAAGTTTTTTCATACGCCATTTAAATCTCTTAAAGACAACTCTCTTGAAATTTTACATCATATCGTAAATCGTTGTACGGTAAAAAGAATATTACCTACTTTAAAGCATATGCAGTAATAAATGATTATGATATACTTAATAAAATCGGTGGCTTGTGTTAGTTTGTGTCTGTCTGTATAAGTTGTTAAAAGTTAATTATAATTATTCATATGAATAAAAAGATGTATATAAAGGTAAATACGTCATGATTAGGTAATTAAAAGCTACAATATAACCATACGTATTGATATTGTTGAGTAATTGATTTAATTGATTGCAGATATTGATATCATTTATACTTTTTCATCATTGTACAACAAAAAAAATAATATTTATACAGTTCTTTTCTTTTTTTTTAATACATATCTCTCCTCCATCTCTTTCATTCCTCCTTCAAACACAACTAAATACTTTTTTTATAAATACTTTCTTTTCAAATAAATATCTAACAAATACCTTTTTTCACACGCAAATAAATACCTTTTTTTTACACGTAAGTAAATACCTTTTTTTTCACGCGTAAGTAAATACCTTTTTTTCACGCGCAAGTGATTTTTTTTTACGCGCAAGTAATTTCTTTTCACGCGCAAGTAAATACTAAGACGGAAAAAAAAGATATATCAACATCAAGAACTGTATTTACTGCCTTTGGACAAACATATGTTTCATTAGATATTAAAAACTTGTTTGTAAGTGAAAAACCATTCTAACTACTCCTGTCAGTTTAGACGTATTGTGGTTCTTGCCAAATTTGGTACCTACTGTATTTACGATACTGCAATTTTATTACTGTTATCATTCTTCCTTTGGTTACGCATCGCGAATATTCACTTGTTTTCACTTCTCAATAGAGCTCGTATAGGAAGTAATGAATACTCAAAATACTGCTGAACTTACCGCTCTGGAAAACTCTTCTCTTGAAGCCTCTATTCACGCTCCAGCTTCTGGTTCCGTTTCTTCTCATTCTCCTGCGGATCTCTCTTCTACTATTAGAGCTCCTTCGATCGTGGACAAGCTAACACTAAACGAGGCTAGGTCATATCATTAAGTGGTAAGTATAATTATAATAGTTTACCGGATGGACGTATGTGTAGGTGTAACACTGCAGGGTTCACTGAAAGTCTTCCGGATGGTGAACTGTTATTATTGACATAGGGGTTTATGTGCTCGTAGTACGTACCATTTGCTACAGGCTAGTAGCTATCTGCTTTTGTGCACGAAGGCATAGCTACAATGATGCCATATAGGTGATCCCCAAGCTGATCCATATGGAAGGGAAGGCCAGGTTCCCGTTGGAAATGACACATATCTCCTATGCCATGTCACTTACTTAGTAATTGTTATTGAATACTATATGAGTTCATTTACCATAGATCCTATGATGGCCACATGGGTGTCCTGGGGTTCCCTGCTTAGGCATAATTAACAGGGTGGTAAACCTCATATGGTATGAGGTGATAGTGACTAAAAAATTTTGTAAATTTTGTAGGGCATGTATCAATTCATTTTTTCTTTAAAATAGGTGTCTTAACGTTGGCACCAGGTGAAATTCTTACTTCTTATGCAATTATGGCTATTAATCAGAGTAATTCTGAAGGGCAGTTGAAGATGTGAACTGGGATATAGATTTTTTTACTCCCATAGACAAATAGAACTTTTCAATTATAGAGTTTTTCTTCTCTTTTTTTTTTTCTTTTTATTCTTGTTTTTTTCTTTTTTCCTTTTAATTATAGATGTAACTATTTTTTCTTTTTCGTTTCTCATTCTGTTTGAGGTTACATTTAATATCGACTTAGTAATATTATGTTATTTTGTTAAATATGTAGCTTTTTATTTAAATAAAAAAAAGATAATACGGATTTGGGAAAAATTTTGTATATGAGCGTATGAAGCTATATAGTACATATATATAATAATAAAGTACACAGACATAATTGTATTAGTGTAAAAAATATATAAACAATGGCTATCATCAAGATATGACTAAAAATATATTTATTCTTTATTTTAGAATTTAAGCCGTATGTAATAACTCTATTCATATAGAAAAAAAATATTTCGTAAACGTTAAAAAAAAAATGAAATATATTTCATGAAAAAATTTTCAATAATTCAGGTTTGAACACTGTATATCGTTCTTTTTCTTCTTTCAAAATAAGCGTTCCATTAATATACCAACTTGTAGCATAAATAGATATGGTAATAATTAAAGCCTTAAATTCTTTGATTAAATATACACAAAAATCCATAATGTATCTGAAGAATTATTAATCATAGCTGATTCAAATGATGTGACTTGTATAAAGTGAATAAGTGAAACGAAAAAAATTTGAAAAGATATAATAAAGCAACAAGGATTTTAAATTAAATCATTTTATTAAATGAATAATATAAAGTAATTAAAAATATTGAATATTTACTAACTCGTCTAAAAAATATTTTCTGGTAGTATATTGCGAATATACTTATTTGAACCCAATTTGTACAATATATGATTCTATTTCCTTTACATGTGTAAACTAAGAATGTGTTTATAGATTTAAAATTTTAACCAGGTGATATTAAAACACATCAAATAATTCGATAGATTTTTTTGTGCCGAAATGATGATCATATCCTGGAATGCATTAGATCATTAACAATCATATCTTAAAATGAAAAATTATGAAAATTTGTGAAAATTTGTGCGTTTTTATGGGTTAGTTAGTGCATTTTTATGGTTTAGATTTTGCATTTTAATCTAACCATAATCCAAATTGGGAAAAAAAGTCAGAGATAATTTTATATATAATAAAAAAAAAGTATAGCAAAACTAAAGTTTTTTAGATTTTTTTTTGATTGAAAAGGAAATAATTTCCCATTTTTGATTTACCCTTTTCTCTTTTCGTAAAAATCTTTTATTTTTTTGTTAAAAAAAAAAATCAACAAAAATTTATAAAAATAAAAAAGGAAATGGTTTTCCTTTTTTGATTGATCTTTTTCTCTTTTTATAAAAAAAACACTTTTTTTCGTTGAAAAAAAATTCAAAAAAATAATTTATAAAAATAAAAAAGGAAATGGCCTTCCTTTTTTGATTGATCTTTTTCTCTTTTTTTTCATAAAAAACGCTTTTTTCGTTGAAAAAAAACCAAAAAAAAATAATTTATAAAAATAAAAAAGGAAATGGCCTTCCTTTTTTGATTGATCTTTTTCTCTTTTCATAAAAAAAACATTTTTTTCGTTGAAAAAATAAAAAAATTAAAATATTTATAAAAATAAAAAAGGAAATGGACTTCCTTTTTTGATTTATTTTTTCTCTTTTCTAAAAATTTTGAAATAAAAATTCAAAAAAGTATTTATGATTTATTTAATCAAAAAAAATATAATTAATAATTTTTTAAATTTTTTATTAATAATTATACCTTTTTAGTTTTTATTGTCAAATTAATAAAAATTTCTAATAAATTTTTGAGAATGTCGAATAAAATAAATCTAACTAAAAATGATAAACAATGTAGATTATTTCTAAAATCTCTTTGAATTTATGTAAATAAAACCTAAAAATAATGTTTAGAATAATATTATACAACTATATTATAGTTAATAAGAAATTAATTATACACTACTAATTATAACTAAAACAATTTTACTAAATCACATTAAGGTGATTAAACTAATACAACTAATATTATCACATAAGCTTCCTATGTGTTTAATTGTTATTTATAAATTCATTCATATTGTATTATACTTTTATTAATAATAAAATTACAAAAAAATATTGGTTAATAATAATATTAAGCAATAATTTAGTATATCAGTTGCATTATATCAATTTCAAAAATACAATCTATTTTTTTAACAATTATTTATATAATCAATCGTAAAATAGATAAAAGAAAGGTAAAAAAATTGTAAAATTGACTCTTTTCTAACTTTCGATTTTATCATAAAATTACACTTTTTTTAAAAAAATATTTCACATATAAGATCTCAATATTTTAATATAAATTAATACATACAGACATGCCTGCCACCTTCATCAATATAACGGTAGACCATATTATGAACATCAGGTCTATTGTAGATGAAAAAAATGATTGGAATTTTCTAACAGGAACTACAACTAAATTAAATCCACCAACAAGAGTTGTAGCAGAAAATGTTGAAGGAAAACCAGTTCATTCAACCTTAAAAATTAAAGATGTTTGGCAGTCATTAGTTATGCATCAAAATCTACATCAGGAACATAAAAAAATAAAAGCTATAATTATAGATGAAGTTTCTATGTTCTCAGCAGATACTGCATATTTTGTGGTAAATGGAGGTCCTTTACAAGACGCATTTACCCTTACTGTTCATAAAACACAGGGCCTAACATTATCCCATTCTACAATTTCTTTGGATACTTCTATGTTTGAATATGGTCAATCATATCTTGCCATGAACAGAGCGAGGGTTGATGTAGAAACATTCCAAGAATTTGCACAAGAAGAGAATAGGACTAGATTGTGAATTATCTTATTGATATTTAGAATACCTAATCACGAAAATTTTACATGAATTTATAAGTTAATAAAACTTACTTGATTCCCTCTTTAAATAGTCCTTATTGTTTTTATAATGCAATGAAATAAATCAAATAGCAGCTCCCCTGCTAATAAATCAATTTCTTGATTTAATATACTAATAAAATTCCTGTCGATCGGTAACGTTTAGTTTACCCCGTATAAATAATTTTTGAATGGATAATTAGATCGGACAATTTGATCGGCAGATTTTAAAAATTAGATTTTCAATTTAAAAAATTAAAAAATTTATATGATGCATTTCTTTTTCCGGTTTTTATTTTTTGAAACGTGTGTAATACCGTATTAAGTGATGTACCACGCATGAGTTGCATAATATATATATATATTGCTATATCATTACAAATTTATACTGATATCCCCCGATTTTTTAATATAAATAGCTCTGGTTCTCATATGAATCACGAATTAACTATAAGAACAAAAAATGTTTGCTTTAATATTTTTCGCTATTACATTTGGTTTTATTATTAATTTCATTCGTAAATTTAATAAAAAACCTGAAGGTCTTGAGAATATTCCATATATTTCATTTATTTCTTTATTAAAAATATTGTGGGCTTATTTCCAACAAAAAAATTACGATGAAGTTGAAGATTTAGTTCAAGAACTTATAGGAGGTCATCATGATATTTATTTGGTAATGTCACATGATACGCTAATTTTTCTCTTATTTACAATTATATAATTATATTTACTTTTATTAGAGTCAGTTCGGCATTGTTCTCAACAATCCTGAATACGCTAAAATTTTATTAACTGAATCAGGTGATTTGTTTTTTTTAATGTTGAAACATAACAAAAACTTTCTTTTAAATAATTAAATTACTTTTTTAGAGGATGTTGCTATCAAGTACTATTCAAAAACTGATAATGTTTTTTTTGATAAATTTTTCGGATGTGGTTTATCATTAACTAATGGAGACGTGCGTAATCTCGACTTCGATTTTTATAACTTAATTTTGTTGATTCCTAAGTAAAATCGTTAATACTTAAGTAAAATTAACAGAAATGGAGATCTACTAGAAAATTAGCGGATTCTGCATTAAATCTTGCTTCACATCAATATCCAGAGGTTGTTGGTGAAATTACAATGGATCTTTTTACTTTCATGAACCCAAATTTAAATCGACCAATTAATATAATCGAATCTATGCGACGTATTTCAATTGAAGCATTGGGAAAATTTGCCTTTGGATATAAGTTTGGGGTAAGGGTTGGAAAATATTTTTGTATATTTTTTTTATAATTATTATTTAACTTATTAAAAAAAAATTATTTTAGTGTTTAGAGTCTCAAGAAGTTCCTCGTCTCATAAGTGTTTATGACTATATTGTTTCAGTTCTTGGATCTCCTTTCCGTCTTGTATTTCCATGGATAAGTGAATTACCTTTAGAATCTAACAAAAAATACTTGGATGCTATTAAAGAATTTGATGGATTCATTAATGATATTATAGAGACGAAAAGAAATGAGATGAAGAAAGATTCTTATAATGGTCATGATTTATTAACGAGCATGATAAAACAAGGAGAAATTAATATTGATAAACATCAATTGAGAGATTAGATAGCGACCTTTTTTACTGCAGGACATGACAGTAAGTAATTTAAAACTGCGCGTTATCTGTTATAGTGCGTATTAGGACATAAAGTTTTTCGGGAACAGAAAATTATATCCATGAATTACGAAGATCTTTATTTAAAACTTTTTAAAAAATTTTTTTTAGCCACTACAACGGCATTGAGTGTTTCGCTTTATTTTCTTGCAAAATATCCAGTAAGTAGTAGAATTTGCGGTTGATTTTTCAAAATTTACATCTTTTTATTAATCTTTTTGTAATTCAAAATGAATAGGAAATGCAAGAAAAAGCACGAGCAGAAGTAATCCGTATTCTTGGTAACGAACCAATTATACCAAGTTTAGATCAATTAAAGGTACTATTAAATCATTACAATCATTTATTTGTTCCCACATTTCACGATTTTATTGTATTTCATCCAAAATCATATATATTAATTATATACTGTATGTCTGTATATAACTATATATATATTAGGAATTGAAATATGTCAATGCAATTATTAAAGAAACTTTACGAACCCATCCACCGACACCAATATTAACTGTTAGAAGATTAAAGAAGCCAATTAAGGTTGGCTCCTACATTTTACCAATAAACTCTACATGTATGATAAATACTTGGAAAATTCATCGTGATCCAAAATATTGGGAAAATCCTAATCAATACAACCCTGAAAGATTCTTATCAAGTGACGAAAAAAGAGACAAATTTGCTTGGATTCCTTTTTCTGCTGGTCCAAGAAATTGGTATATATAGCAAATACTTTTTTTTTTTACAAATATAAAATAATTTTATCATATTTTAAATTTTAAATTTTTCTTAAAACATTTTTATAGTGTCGGACAAAATCTCACTTTATTACAACAAAGAGTTGTTCTTTCAATGTTCCGTAAGTAAAGTATATTTGTATTGTTTTATTTTGTTCATAGTTAAGTTATTTAATATCATTTCTATTAAAGTGCTCAGATATAAATGGGTCCTTCCTGAAAATAACGTTAACAAGGACAAAATATTATTAATGTCTCATTTTTTACTAACTCCCATTGATATAAAACTTGTGTTTACTGAAAGAATTAATGAATAAGTTATTAGGATTATTCTCAGAGATGATAATTATGTATAATTTTGTAAAAATGAATCTAGTTATCCACTTGCCTCAACATACTCAATTATCTTTGTTGAACCTTGATGCAATAACAATACTACTTTAAAGAGTCGAATTTGAAGAGCAATAATTTCATTTATTATTTATTTATTTTATTTATTTTAAATTTTCTTGTAATACTATCTATATTCGATTTACATAAATTTTATTATTATAATTGACTCTTTAAGAGTGAAAGGTCATTTTAACTTGAGTCTTCTATAAAAACTTAATTATAAGACAAATTTTGGGCGGTAGTTTACATTATGGCTTTGTTTACCTGAAGGCCAATTGAAATTAATTTAGTAGGACGTCTTTTGACCCTTGAAACAATGTAAAAATTATTAAAATTATTAAAATAAATTTGGCTCAATTCTTCTTTTCAATAATCAAGGCCAATACTAATCGAAAAAAAATATGATAAGCCTTTTCGGTCATTAAACCATACATATTCTATTAATTTTTAGATATCTGATAAATGTTCCTTTGCTGAAAAAATGTCATTTTTAATGAATTACAACAATATTGGAAACAGTAATTAATATGTATTTTTATTAAGTCAACAAAAATTTATCTTCAATTTTCTCGAATTTTCTAAAGTATTATAATAATCGTGTTGTAACGGGCTTTAATTTTCTCAAAAAGTGGAGAATTTTTTTTGATTAGCGGGTTAGGTATTAGAGTCTAAAAAAAAAGATCTGCAAATATCCAATCATGTGATTAATGAAATTTAATTATTGTACAGTACAGGGAGGCGATGTATTCAATTCCGTAATCCGCATTTTTATGGATATACACAGTATGATCTCATTTAAATTAAATTATTATTATAGATTTACATGGTGCTTTTGTAGACCATACAGTTGGATTAACAGCAGAAAAAATATTTGATATGTAGACCAAATCAAACCATATCCCATTGGCCTAAATTAGATGTTCATCGTTGATATAGCCTTAAGGCATTATTAGAATGGGTCGATAATTTAGATGATTTGGAACATGGTAGAGTTTGGTCTACAACAGTTGCAATTTCTTCGATTTTAATATGAAAAAAAGGCAAAAATACCACTTTCACCTTTACAAATAAACTGATATTATTATCAACTGTAACGCCGATCAGAATTAAAGATATAATGTGAAAATTACGCACAATCCTAATGAGCGTGTAATAATATCCCATGTTTACTAATGGGCGCCCGTGATTTTTCATAGAAATATCAGGTGTATTTCATTTTACAAAAGATCACTTACTCTAATGAAAACAGATATCATAATGTGCTTTTGAGACATTTTATAACTTTTAGTTACTGAAAAATCTGTTTTAAACTTGGATAAAGGAAAAATAATAAGACATAAGAAAAAATAGTAATAATTAAAATAACTATAAAATAGTCTACTTTTTTATCACGGGCGTTAGTTCAAAACGTGTCGCATGAATATCATGATTTTTACGGCGCAGCCGTGAAAATCATTGATAATCCACGATTGACTATGATAAATTATAATTAACAAAATGGAGACAAATTTAGATTGTAACACTAAAAATTTTAGCAAAATACCAAATCTATTTATTTTATAATATGACGAATTTAGAATGTCATCAATAAATAATAAATTTATGATAAACTATCTCTATTATATCTCCGATAAATTAAAATTACAATAATAATCAAATGGAGACAAATTTAGTTTGTAACACTAAAAATTTTACAAATCTATTTATTTTATAATATGACGATAAACTATCTCTATTATATCTCCGATAAATTATAATTAACAAAATGGAGACAAATTTAGTTTGTAACACTAAAAATTTTAGCAAAATACCAAATCTATTTATTTCATAATATGACGAATTTAGAAATTCATCAATAAATAATAAATTTATGATAAACTAGCTGTAGCCCGTCGCGCTGCGCCGGACGGATGAATAAGCCAATCAGCATTTAGATTTTGAGGAGTTGACATCTTTGTTCTCTCAGTGCTGCAGCGAAGGCGTGTTTTAGGTTTTTAATTTCTTTTTTACTATTTATTTTATTTTATTTCTATTTCATCTTTTTGCTTTACCTTCAACTTTGTAATTCTGGCCGGAATTATGTGATCGTTGGAAAATATTCCCTCTACTGTGTATCAACTAGCTCTAGATAATTTAATATAAATGAGATCATACTGTGTATCAACTAGCTCTAGATAATTTAATTTAAATGATGAAAATCTCTATCTATAAAAAGATAAAAAGTCAACAGCAATTAAAATAACCACAATTCTTAAACTTTGAATATACGAAATTGTTTTTTTTTTCTCTTAAAAATGTATCAAGCGATCATTTTGGGATCCCTTCTGTTTATAACGCTTTACATTTTAAAGCGTAAGCGTGAACCAGAATTGGTAAGATAATTGATTTAAACAGAATTTTATCGCTTTTTCTCCTTTTTCTCAATTTTATTTTATTTTATTTTCTTAGACCATGCCGCCACTTGTTTCTTACAAATTCCCAATTATTGGCCATACTTTTGATTTTTTTTTAAATCCCGAAAAATTTCTTAAACAATGTAGAGAAGAAGTTCGTATATCAACGAATTTTTTTTTTTTTTTTTTGGCGTAAAAATTCAATTAACGTTAATTATTAATTATATATAATAGTATGGTGATATCTTTTGTCTATATATATGGGGTCAAGTGAGAGTATTTGTTGGTACAGAGATTGCTCGTATTTTTTTTTGCATAAATATAAAATATTTTATATATTCTAATTTATAAATTCTTTTTAATTACTGCACAAACTTGTAGGAAAAGAACATTTTGGTGAAGTATATTCAAGAGATGATGTGTTTGATGTTTTAAAAGCATTCAACAAACGATTTCCGATAGATGTATTATGTCCAGATTTGCTGAAAGTTTTACCAGTTGCACCAAAAACACTTAAAGACACGATCTTTAGCAAATTAAAACTTTATTCTGATCGTATGCAAAAAAGGGTTTATTTATCAACTCAAAAACATTTTGGAGATTGTGATGAATCAAAAATTTTTTATAATCTATTTGAAATTGTAACAAAAATTATTTCTGATCCTATTGCAAATATTATTATTGGTGAAGTAAGTATAGATACTTTTTTTTTTATGATACTAGTTAATTTTGAAAGAAAAAAAGTTTTAAAAGAAAATTACTTCTTTTTATAGGAGGAATCACAACATGAAGAAGTTTTAAATTCATTTGCAAACTTTATAATAGATAGCATGATATTTTTAACTATTCCACCATTTCTTGATATAATTTATCCAGGACTTCAAGAATATGTTAATCGTATTCAGATAAGATTAGGATTATATAATCCAGCAGATAAACATCGAAAACCACTCCTTAAACATATAGAAAAGCAAGTACGTAAACGTTTACAAGAGAAAGAAAAATATGGTGACTCTTGGAAACGTCCTGATGATCATCTTCAAGATCTAATGGAAGAACATGATCCTAATAATATTAGTTGTCCGTATCTTTTAGACAGAATATATCTAATCATTTTTGCATCAATTCATACAACGGCAATAGCCATTACAAATGTTATTTTAAGTTTAGCATCAAGACCCGAGTACATGCAAGAATTATATGAAGAACAATTAAAAGTTCATAAAGAAACGAATGTAAATGGCATAATTCCATTTGAAGCTCTTAGTGATATGAAAAAATTAGATAGTTTTATTAGAGAAACATTAAGATTAAGTGTAAATGTTGCGGGAATTGACCATCTCGTAAAGAAAGATTATACGTTCTCTAATGGATTGCAAATACCAAAAAATTGTATAACTAGTATTTATATTGATGATGTTTATCGAGATGAACCAAAATCATTTGAACCATTCAGACATTTAGATATAAATGTAGCATCAAAAGTCACTAAAAATTTTTTGACATTTGGAAATGGTAAACACACGTGAGTATATTTATGTATATATGTATTGTAGTACAGTAAGTCAACAACTCAGTTATTATTAAATTATTTAGATGCCCTGGAAGACAACTTGCTGTAAATAATATTAAATTTTTTATGCATAACGTTATCTTAAAATATAATTTTCGTACAGTAAGTAGTAAAATTGAAGAAAGCAGAGGAACGGGTTTTACGGCATTACCAGTTGAAACAAGTACTGCTGGTGTGATTTTTGAAAAGAGGGTTTAAGTTAAATTTTATGCAAACTAAAATCCATTTTATTTTGCAAATTCTACTATGATACTTAACAAATTATCAATAATTTTTATTTATATATAAATTAATATATAAACTTCTTAATAAATTTTTAAAATTTTAGTTTTATGCACCAGAAAATTTCTGTAAAGCTCAAATTATTGCTTAATTTGAGATAAACTAAAATCCATTTTATTTTGCAAAATCTTCTATTATACTCAACAATAATTTTGTAAATAACAGATAATATTACTTGAGATTTATGTTATCACGTGATCATAAATGATCGACAAATTTACTATTTTCAGTTTTACTATCTACATGAAACTCTAGTTTAGATACCCTATATGTTAATTATGACTTTAGTTAAAACTTGTTATTATTATGAAATAATCTTTTGTAGATTAAATGAAAATTGAAAATATATCTTCAAAAGTGTAGTAATGTCAGTTGTATTTATTAATATTGAAAAATCATATTACTTTCGTACTTTTCGTTAAAAAAAAGAAAATTTAATTATTTTTTGGTTTATTAATTGTAATCATAATTATGTATCAACATTATATAGAATGGTTATTGGTCAGTCTAATAGGATCATGCAGATTTTGACGGACTGATATTTTTTGTTGATGGCTAAATAATTGATATTTTTCTTTTATTGGCTAAATATCAAATATATTTGCAGTTTAATTATACTTTTTATATACTCTTACTATAATAATAGCATGATCTTGCGTGACTGACGCAATAATCTAGTTATTGGTTATGGTGGATAAAATATCGTGTCACCCCTTCGGGGTGACCGATATTTTACCCCCCCAACCAATAACTATTATTTATCAGTTCTATTTTTATTTAATAAAAAATTAATTTTTTTATTTTTATTTTTTTCTAATTGAAAAAAAAATTTACTTTGTTAATTTGATTGTTAAATTGGATCTGTCCACATGATCACTTTTCATAATAATTCCGCAGCGGATTTTTATTTATTAAAAAAATTTACCCATTACACTAATTCGAAACCGCAATAAATACCTGTATTGCTGTTATTAGAAATTTTCCATTCTCCCTAGTAAAATCCTGGTGCTGAGAGGATTTTTTTTTCATCATGTGGAAAATCCAAAAAAACTGAAAAATCTTGTTTTTTAAAAAAAAAAGACTGCATGCACGATATTTTACGATAAACCATGAATAGGATCGACAACGTGCATGCAGGTGTTTCATGTACGTGACGCCGTGACGGGTCAAGATTCATATATTTGCATATCGGGATAATAAATAATCACTCTTTATATTAGACCACAATATTAAAAGAATAGTTCGCACATTTTTAGTTGCCTAGAGTGAACTTTCTTATTTTTTATTACTTTTTTTTATGTACCCGTTCTCACACACATTTCTGATAGTTATTTTTATACCACTGTTCAAATTAATGCCTTATAAAAAATTTCTTTTATACAAGAAAGAAAGTACTAGGAAAGGTATTTTTCGTTTGTTGGCAAAATATTTCAAATTTAGTAACATAACTAAAATTTCCAAATTTTTATTCTGGTGCAGTAACATTGCTGACTTACCAGAAAGCAAGACTTTCTCTTTAAACATCTTTATTATGTCAGACTCAAAAACTTCTATGCAATTTAATAATCTAAAAAAAAAAAAAGAAACAAAGTACTATTGAACCAAAAAAAAAAACATGGTGAAGGCTGGCATGGTAAACAAAACATCCTAATTAATCCTTTCAACCCTGCGTCAAGTACTCTCCATGGCCACTATGTGCTTCCGGTTCTGATTCCATATATACATAGAAAAAATCCCAATGAAAAGATATATAACATGAGAAAGGTACATAATCGTTCCACCTTAAAACAATTGACCTCACATCTAGATCATGATATATATGGTGGCTTGGAATTGCCTTTCAAACTCTCAAACATTTAATGCTGATAGATAATACCTTAAATTTTCTTTCAGTGCTGTAATATTTGCTCTGAGATTACTAATCATTATAAGATTGGAAAAGAATTTGACCATCTTCTTGCATCAAGATGGTGAGAAAATATTATTTGAAGACTATAGTGGTGATCTGATTATTCTTGATGTTCTCTCTGACTGATATTTAGGAATTAATTACCAAAAAATGGAGAGGTATTTCATAAATAAAAGAAAATGACATAAAATGAACAATTTTATACAAATAAAAATAAGAATAAAATTATATCATCTTGGTTATTATTTTAGCAAAAAAGGAACTATGTGGTTAATGAGACCTTACTCCTTTGTTTTATCAGTCCTTCCTTACTTTGCTTTCATTCATAAGGACAATAAAGATAGAATACTAAAAAAATGTTCATAAGGATACGACTGATACGTTAATATTTGATATGATCTGCAGCGTTATTATGGATTTGGTACCCATTATATTATATTGCCTATATATCCTCCAAAGGCAGGTTGTGTTGTCATTTCCCATGTATGGCCTTTACATGACTATCCAACTGTAGACCCAGTACATACAACTGATCCTTTTATAGCTTACGGAGCTTTGTTTTGATCCTACTTCTTTTGATAATTGGCTCTCTATTTTATCATTTTGTTTTGTAAAATGTTTTGTTCCTTTGTTTGAAGTCATTTTCCATTTTCTTAAAAACTTTTGAAACATATCCGTCTTCAACAAAAAACTATTATCAAACTCATCCTAGTGTGTCTGTATGTGTAAAGCTACTTTTTCTTAAGAATTTTTTGGTCGAGTGATAGAAAGAGTGCATTCTATTCTTAATAAAATAAATTTAATAAAGATTTTGACCGTTACTATGCTTATAAATTAATATTCTTTACAAGTACAATAGTATTCTCATTTTATAATTTTCTTTTGTTAAAAATTGAAGTTATCAGACCAAAAAAAAGATATTATTTATTACCACCTCTCTTAGTTGTAATTGGAATGGACACGATCCCTTCTGTTGCAAACTAAAATTTAAATAGAATTGATTTTTTTTTTAAAAAAATAAAATAAAAACAAATTATAAATAAATTACCATCGATATCATCCCATTTTATCTTTTTAAAAAAAAGTATATATATAATTATCAAATCACATAACTTTCCACAAGTTGAACATTATATTATATACGTTCATAAACCGCCAGTTTAAGACAATATGGACATCCACTTGTAACTAATGGTAAGTTAGAAATGTTACATATTATTGTTCGAAGAACTATCAAACACATAAGATTATTCATAACATAATGAGTTTCGCTCGAAATATTACATCAAATTTTCATAAAATTTATTCATACTTTTATGTTTAACGAAGTCTTTTGCTACAGAAAGAGTTGTAAAGGTAAATGCTTTATAATTTATAAATATTTTAATTGAGCTTAGACATTGCAATGCAATCAGTCCAATCTCACACCGTTAATGATATTTCTAGGCATTACTATAACAACAGATTGATCACCACGAAACGCCGAAACGGGAAGATGGTGCTACCTACCTACAATAATTATATTTTTGCTGTCAAAATAATGAATACTTTCGAAATCCTTTCTTACAAGAGAGCTTTAGTAATCCTCCAAATTCCCATTTTGTATATTGGGAGGGCAAAATATTTACTAATCCTAATAGGTAGAGACATCCGTTTAGATTTGTTGAATTTTAATTTTACGACCCGTTACTCTTCCGGCACATAACTAGTGCCTTCAGCTCTTCAATGCTTGCTTGTTGCACCACACTTCGTATGTTCCACCAAAGTGGTAGGTGCTTATTTATAATTATAATACTATCTATAAAAATTTGTAAATTTTTGATGCAATACTACATTTAATAAAATATTTTAATTTATATAAAGTATCATAAGTTTATTCAAGGAAAATTTTCGAATCATACTTTATTTATGAAATATTATTATACAGTATTTTTATACATTGCAATTTGATGTTTAGCAGAAAAAAATAATAGATTAAATATAATAGATGATAACTAATAGGTATTGACAATCTTAAGGTGCTTTATCAAATTCCATATGATAACTAGAAATTCCACATTTTGTCGGGCCAAGGTACGTATGTACCCACGGATCACTTTGTTTAAATATAACATCCAAGTTTGCATAATAATAATAAAGCTGCCTGTCAGGTGTCAGCAATAACCCTTAAAAAAATAGAAGGATTTGATCAAGGTTATTTAGGATAGGATTTTCGCTCCTGTAGTAAAGCGACTCAATGATATTTCCGTGTTACACAAAGGTAGTGTGATGGCTTTCACGAACATATATTTGGTAGCACGGTCTCTGGTTTCGGGATTTTAGTGGTAAGAAAAACATAAATCGAATAATTGGAACAATTTGATCATCGTCGAGATCTATTCCTTAAATGGAAGGAAAAGAATATACTCTGTAAATATTTAGTAAGAAATAACTTTCCTTTCCTGTGATAATCGGATTTCACGGTTTTTAACACCTTTAGCCTCATAAACTTCATTAAATAAAAATGCTATGACTTAAATTTGATGTTATAACTTGTAAATTATTACACTACATATTATTAGCCAATCGAAATCAGATATGTGTGTTGCTTATTTTAGAAATTTCTTTCAACACGTTAAAATATAAGACTTATTTTATTCTATATTCCTTTTAAAAAAAAAAAAAAGAAAGAATTTTTTTTGTATAATATGTCATACATTTTATTGTTAATATTTTTACAAATATAGTTTATATCTTTTAATATAATCGGAATGTAAAAAGAAAGATTAATCAAAAAATAATATTTCTTTAAAAACGAATTGTCACCAAATAAAAATAAATAATCATACTATTATTCTCATTTGGCAAATTTATTATTTTTTTCCATATGTCCTTGTTATTTAAATCATGAATGCATCTTTGATGCTGTTTCTGCCTATTGTGGACTTTGATGATAGCTTTTTTTAATAATTTTAATTTCTTTAATAATCTATATTCTTTTATAAGAGTGATTTTTTTATACTTACTGACGCAACGTATTAATGAATTTGTTTATTTATAATGAAAAAATAACTATAAAAGAGTAAGGATTTTGGCTCAATTCTTTTTCTGCAGGCCTCATGAAAACAAACTCAAATCGCTCAAGGAGAAATCATGTTTCGCGTTCTTTGAGAGCGCCAAATGGATTTTCGTTTTATTTCAAGTTTATAAAAAACTATTTGAAAAATGATTATCCAAACCACTCTCCTCAAAAAAGGATGAAGGTAGCATCAGAAAAATGGAATGCACTTACTGATACTGAAAAGAATCAGTATAAAAAGTTCGCAAACGATGATCGGGTTTTAAAGCAAAACCCGGATCTAACTGTTGTACAGGCTTCCAATATCGACGAGCCGGGTAACAATAAATCGTTAGTAATGATTTTTTCGGATCTAAGCTCACATCCAGTAGCGAGCGATTTGAGTTCCGAAGAATTCTTCGATTATGACAAATACTATAAGGATTAATAATTATTAACTAAAATTACTAGTAATATATGTACAAAGTATACTTTTAAGTTACATTATGTATTTTTATTTTTTACTCTCCCACTTCCGTCTTTTTTAATACTTTATGATTTTATTATGTATTATATCAAATTTATGATTAAAATATAAAAAATAAATCGAAATTTAAGCTAAACATGAATCATTGTAAAAAAAATTTATAATTTATAATTATATTTTATTGCAGTAATAAAATTCATTATATTGAAGGTTATGAATTCATTAATATAAATTCAAAAATATTTTTTCACTTGTTATTATTACTAATATAATCTATATCACAGATTATAAATTAGCTAAGAAAAATTTCTCTGTTATAAAAAGTATATTTGTATCTCTGAAACTGATAAAAATTTTATTAATATTTAAAAGAATATGAATTTTTTTTGCAAAATTCATATAAATTATCTCAAAAAGATAATTAGGCATTAACCATGTAAAATTTGTTATTTTACCGAGTATAAAGCAAAATCCACGAGAGTTTCTAGATACCCGGATTCAACAATTTTCATGATTACTAAATGGCTAAATATAAAGTTAGTAATATAATCCAAGATGGCATAAAAAATTATTTTTATCTTAGGTTTAACGAATTAAATAATAAGTACCTTAGGTATGATGAAGGCATATTTCGTTGCCGTAATACAAGGAATTTAAATTGGTTTAAATCAAATAAAATAGCCTAAAGAACTTGAAAGGGAAATAGTACCCACTTTGTATTCATTTCCCAAAATTTTTGATAAACAAACTTAAATAGACCAAATTAAAATATAACATAAATGCATTCTGTGGCACAAATCCGCATACTGCGAATTGAATAAGTTATAAGCCGCGATTAATCAAGTTGATCCTTCGTCACCCGTGTTTTGCAGATCCTAATGCTGATGTTCTTACAGCAGCCAATCAAAATTTAGCTTTGTTTATCTTAATTTAGACTAGACTCTTTTTTTTTACAACCGTTTCATTGTTTGATTCTAAGATCGTGAAAATTTTTTCACATAATGAAGTCATGCATTTTATTGTCACATACTTAAAAATATTGATTCATATTTCTAAAATTAGATTGTGATGGATTGATGAGTGTAATGCCTTGATCCAATTTTCGTGAATATTTTTTTCCATTCGCTTCTGTTAAAATGCACATACGCTAACTAACTTTCTATGTAAATATCATTTACCTTGGCAAAAGATCTTTACCGAATTAAATTTATTATCGGCTTTGGTAGAGTAATGAAGTATAATTAACGCACAAACTTTGATTGTTTTATGCTTAGTGACGCAACAATCTAACGAATTTGTAATATTATTCATTATTTTTTAAGGGTACCGAAAAGCTCGTTCGCCAAATGGTTATCGGCTTTCGGCAGAAACTGACGAAATTTGAATTTAATGAATTTCAAATGAGGAAATTTATAATCAGCTAATTTATATAATCTATTATCAAATTTAGTACTTTTTGTAATGTTAAATTTAATAATATACTATGTAATCATTTTATAGCTGACAAAACGCATTTTTTTTATGAAAAATAAATGTTGAAAAATCATTTTTTTCTAGAATTACATATTATTAATAAACAAATTTAAAGCAAGCAAGAGGTTGAGTTATTTCCTTAAATCTGTATTCAATAATTTCGGCATATGTTTTAAATTTTGGTATATATTTAAAGTTGATTAATAATAAATGATAAGAAATTTAAAATGATATTATAGATTTATTTCTCACGTGACAGATGTTTCTCTGTGTCCCTTTTTGGAATGATCATTGATAGATTTCCAATTTTATCTACATTTGCGCTATATTATTACATATTTGATCTTTTATAAAACCGAATCACTTTTTATATTGACTTTGATTATAAAAATAAAATTGTTTAAATTCTATTATTTAAAAAAAGATTTTTTTTTTTTCTCTCATAGGAATCATGCATTTCACCAATAAGTTTTTTACAGATATGATTTAAGTAATCGTTCTTTGTTAATTTCAATTACGATGCACATTTACGTATTACGTTTTATAAAAATATAATAGAGTAATAACACTTCTTTTGGTTTAGTTTTTTTAATTAATTTAATTGATTATTCCATTTTCTTTTGTGATATCATTTGGTTGTATCATCTCGAACAATTTTACGCATGTTGACGCAACACATTTGAAAGAAAAAAATGCTCTATAAAACAACTCAATTTTCGCTCTTTTGGTCTGCAGTTATGACTAAATCGTCGAATACTAATAAATGTTCTAATGGACGTCAAAAAAAGAATGAAAATGGCTACATAATTTTCTCTAATATTTATAGAAAAACTTTTGCCAAAGAGATACGTTCGAAAAATACCATGAAGACTACAGGACAATTTTGGGGCTCCTTACCAAATGACCTTAAGAACCAATTTACCACATACGCTAATAGAAAGAGACTACTAAAGGAAATTAAAGAAGGTTATAGTCCCATCTCCGGCAAAGAAATAAATTTTAAAAGAGAAAATTCGACGTTATGTATTATATACGATGATCTCATTAGTCATAACTCAACCCCGAATATTTTACCACAACCGCGCTCTTTAGATGATGATGAATATGACAAAATCTTCGATAACTTCGTTAATTACGATTAAATTTTCTTTTTCGTTTCGTGAATATCGTTCAATTTATGTGCTATTGTATTATTATATGGGTACATCTTAGTTAACTTATTTTCCGGCTATATAACGCTAGCTAGTTTTATACATTTCCTTCCTCGGCGGCCGTCGAATATTTTCTTTATTTCGTTCGCTTAGTTTTCGAAAATATTACTAATGTACAGAGTATGTAAGCTAATTTAAGTTATATATACGTTTCGTCAAAATTTTCTATAGATTATCGTTTATTTTTTTATATATGCTATATTATATATGTATCGTTAATTCTTCAAATATCATAAAGATTAATTAGAATAAAGATTATTACGCTGAAATATTTATTAAACTTTAAATTTCATTTTGATCTTTGTATGATGCTTTTTCTTATTCGAGAGAATAATTTTTTTAAATTCATGCTAAACATTCAGTTCTTATTTAAAGTCGTGAATTATTTTACTTAATACTTATAAAAGCTTTTGGCTTTTCCAGTGTCATTTTAGACGTAATGTACAATGACTAAGTACATCATATTTGTTTGTCGTATTAATTTTACATACAGTATATAAAAAATAATTCATTCTTATTACTTATTATTAAAATTTAATTAATTCTTAGGAATTGACTCTGAGGTTAAGCATATATAACTTTTTGTTTTTATAAAAGAATAAGTTGGTTTACAATTTATTACACATTATAGTCAATTAAAATTGATTATATTTGAAGCAATAAAAAAAAAATTGTTTGTCATAAGAATTTAAGTTCACAAGAAAAAGATAATAAATTATTTTTTTCTTTAGGATGTGTGAAGAAAAAAATCATTAAATTATTCTATCGTAATTTGTACATAACACGTAATATAAGTTCAAAAAAAAAACATTCCATTAACTACCTAATATATTATCTTATATGGTCTGACTTACATACTGTATATCAATACATCATACATACAGTATGACACTTAACCATACACCACTAAAGATCGGGATCCGTACAAAATCCCGACGGTTCAAAATCCCGAATGGTACAAAATCCCGACAAATGGCCCGCGTTATGAAGAGTCACGTGATGGGTTTGACCAGCATTAGAGTTCGGGATTTCGTACCTGTCGGGATTTCGTACCAGACCCCTAAAGATCAGCAGTTGATGAATCTTCAATTTTTTCAATTTCGTTCATTTTGTTTTTAACTTCTCTCTTTTTTTTAAAAAAAAATTTTTTAGGTTTTGCTAGCTGAACTCTTCAAAATTTATATTTTTGTGCTTCATTGTAATAATTACTTTCGTGTATGCCAATTTATTCTATATTACTAAAATCTATCAATTCATTTTAGGTGACATTATTAATATTGTTGTGCAAAAAAATCCGAAGTGCAAAACGAACTCTAATATACAGTATCTAAATCAAATACGTCAAAGATCCCATGTCCAATTTTGATATAATTATTATTCTTTTACTATCGAAATACTGTATGTATTTTGATAGTCCGAAGTGTAACGAAGGATTATATAATTCTACGCAAGGTGACGGCACGTGAAGATGTAATTTCCGTTTCCAAGATAAAAAAATTATGACAGTTAATAGACAATTATAAATGAGAAATAAAAAAACGTAGTCGGTAGTAGTTAGAGGGAATACGATCAATCTGAAAGTTTATTCCATTTACCAATCTAATTCTCAACTTTAAAGAATCATATTAATAAATAGTAGCTTTAGGACTTTAGTCGTATTTATTAATATATTTATATTTTATATATTGTAATTTCAATATACAAATGTTTTTTTTTATGTCATAATATCAATATTCATCATATAATAAAATTTGGGAAATTTTAATATTTTAACGGTACAAAATCACAAAACTCACAACCATATAAATGATTTATCAGTTATTGGTAGGGTTGAATTTAAATTCGAATTTGGCAAAATTATGGCCAGAGTTAGCCAATTCGGATTCAAATTTGGCTTTCTCAATATTCGAATTGGATTTAGGATAATCGAATTAGCTAGGTTCTCTAATTCGATTCCATGCCCTATCTACAAGAATTTTTAGATATAATAATGGTCAAAGTTGTGACACTGATTCAACAATTTTCATGATTACTAAACAGCAAATATAAAATTGAGTGGTATATTTGTAAAAATATATTTATATACTAGCCGTTGAACCCGTTGCTCTGCAACGTCAGATAAACATACACGTGATCGGTATGACGGTTAAAATGTTATACGCGATTTATACAGTCTTACAGTCTTTCGGGTGCACAGGTATAGTCATGTGAAATGATATACAGAGTTGTATATTTTGTAAACCTACTACTGCGTATATTAGTATGTTGCAATTATTGCGTCTATATGTACTACAATAATCAATTATATCCGTGTAACATACTATAAATAATATTGATAATCAAAAATTTTTTCATATCGAACTTTACTTTCTTTTTCAATTTCAAATTATGGATAACAAATTTTACTAATGAAGAAGACACTATTTATGAAGAGGACCTTATTTTAGAGGTAACTTAATATGATTTTAGTTAAATATTACAACTCTAATATAATAAAAAAATTATTAATAATTATATAGCCAAATTTAAGAATCTGAAATATATATTACGAAAAATGTGGCTGTTAAAATAATAATTCATTTATGACGCGCAAATCTAACAAGAAAACCAAAACAATTGTCACAATTTCTGATTCTGATGATAATTGTGATGATAATAATAATAAAGAAAATTTAAACTTAGATTTCAATGAGCTTGAATATCGAACTAGCTTTAAAAGAACGTGAAATTTTATTAAGAGAACGTGAAGCAAAAGTTCGTGTAATGGAACTGTCCAACCTTGAGAAGGAGCGGGAGTTAAAGTTACATTAGAAGTTAGAATATTTTTATTGAAGTTAGAATAGCTTTATCAATAGTAAATTATAAAAATAAAAATTTGCATTAATTAAATAAAAATGAAATCCGCATTTTATACTCATTACTCTTTGCAAATTAATTAATACAATACATGTTTTAAATGTTACATACTCATCATACTCATACACTATACTCAACATCAGTTATTACGTCATACAATACTCACATACTATACTAATCTCCTTGAACCTACACTCATCTCATTTTTTTTTATGTTCCATTTATTTATTATGATATACAGAACATACATACATAGAGGTGACGTAGGACAACAAAAACCCTATAGCTAACCGATCTATCTAATATAACTAAATCAGCTGGACTACCGAACCCCAAACTGTTCCAATTTCCTCACGTATCTCCCCTCTCAGCGTAGCCAACCTCTGTTCCTTATAATCTTTAAATTGAAGTTGAGACAAATATAGTTGAGCGCATACTACTTCTGTTTTCCAATTGCGAATGTAACCTATATTAATAGTAGATGAGGTTTTGAAGAATGAGCATATGTATTTGAGATAAAAAACATTTCTTCATTTTCCTCCATTTAATATTAAAGTAAAGTTTAATGTTTTTGTGGAAATTGCATAAGTTGATTTTGGATCTGTCAGATATACATATTTCGGCTGAATGAATAAGATCATCTCTTATGTCAAAAAGAAAATGAAACCTCCAGGATGATTATTAAAAGGTTTAGGTATCACCTCTCATCTAAAATAATATTAAAAACTAATCTGTTAACAAATTAGTGATTTATATTAATTTCGTCAATTTATAGTGTTTTTAGCGAATTAGTATGAATAATAATATGTCAATAAATTTAACCAAATATAAATCAACATAATTAGTTTAAATATATTCAGTATTAGTAAAATAGGACCCCGGATAATTATAATTGAGGTCATATCTTACTATGTTTTGAACTTTATTTTTCTTTTAACATGTAATTTTATTAAGTTAATATTATTTTTTACCATAGAAAAAAATGTTTCTTTTGAAGAGAAGAATCTTTTGATACCAAAATCTTGTAAATCTACTGATTAGAATTTGAGATAAGTATCGTTACACAGGCAAAATTTGGCAAAAAAATATACGCTTTTTCACTATCGGTATACATAGAAATATACAAAAAAAATAAAAATTACCATTATTAAATATTACTTTTTAAGTAACAAAATTATAGATAATAGGAGGGCAATTATTATTACAAAGTTTTGTATCTATAGCTTTAAAAGTAAGTTCAGGATGACAAGGGTAAATTTTTAGCATAGAAGATATGACCTTAATTATAATTGTCCGGGGTCCTAGTTATATTTGTAAAATTAAAAATTATTTCTTTATTGTGATTCTTTATCAACTTATACTATTAGAAATATCAGATTCATTTTTGTACCCCTCTTTTTTTCATATTTATTTTAAAAAAAGATTTTAAAAAAGTCTTCAACCATTTTTTGTGAACATCCCGGAATACTGAGGGAATGATCATTATCATTTCAGTGCATTACACACACACCCAAAAATTGTAAAAATATAATATTTATTGTGTGAGAACAAAGTAAAAAAAAAAATTACATCACGGCTAGAATTGCTACATAGGTTGTCACAATTATCTTATGACTTGTAGAGCAGTAAAATGTTTAACTTTAATTACATCATTAGATTTTTTTACTGATTCATTTCATTTTTTTTACTGATTCGTTACGGTGATTAATTAATTACAGACTTCTTTTTACAAAGAGGTATTTAATTCTCAATTTCGTGTTTACTTGATTTTTTACTTTTTTATTGAAAGAACAGAATATTATATATATTTTTTTATCAAATTTTTATAGTTCCTAAAAAAAGAAAGTAAGTAGCACGGGATGCGATTTCTATCCTTGTGCTAGTTTTTCTACTTGGTTGGACAGCCCGCCAAAAAAATGGATGAGACAACTTGTAAAGGATTTCCTGAAACCGACAAGGTAACTAACAAGAATAAATGTGGACGAAATAAAAGCGAAGGTAACAACGAAGAGGTTAGAAAAAATGACGGTATTTCAAGGGGTAAATCTTGTCCTAACAGTGCAAGAATTGAGCATATGCAAACGCCCATGGGGAAATTGCGCAGAATGTGTGCCGTGGGAAGCGATGAAGGGACAAGATGGACATCATGTCGATTTGTACAGCCACGCTATAGAATTGGAAAAGATGATAGTCAGAGACCCTTGCATAATGTGTCAGAGGGTAGCACACTCATTGAATCTCAAGGGTGTTGCAGCAATTTATCTATGGTAGTCGAGATTATGGAAAGTGAATCCAACCGTCACCAACTTGCAGTTGCTGCTAACCAAGGGCCCTGTGAAGTATCAAGTCTTACCGAGTGTATGAATGCAAAATCGGATTATGTATCATATTTCGACGAAGTTAAAAATTTTGGCTTTAACCATATCATACTCGTTGGGAAGCGTGAATATGGAATAATTTTTTTAGATTGCTATGGTCGACTTTTTGAGTTAGATATGATGTCTGGTGTATTGTGGCCACTTGGGAATTCTTTGGAAGAGGCGAAAACAAAACCCTGGACTGGCGAGGTGGCATGGAATATCGGTGATGATGGGAGTATTTTTGAATTCGAGTATTGTATGTGTGTAAATCTTGATTATTTTCTTAACATAACTTTGTATAACCAATCTTCTCTCTTTCAGATACTGAAGCTAAACGTACTACACATGCTTTTATACGTCAGGAAAGTCCAGAACCCCAGAAACCTGAGGAATTCTATAAAAAACCCCAGAAGAAGAACAAAGGGAAAAAAAAGAAAAACAAGAAAAATGGCACAGTTTTTTAATTTCATAAACTACTATGATCACAGGTTTACATATTTTTTTTTCTCTATTATTGGCTTTTATGACTTTTATGTAAAATACACCTTTTTCAAACCTATACAATATCGCTTTTAGTATTTGCTTTACAAATAATTTGCAGGGCTCTGACCTACAATGTTTCTATAATTTTCGAAATAAAATCAATTTCTGTATCTAAAATTTAATGGCTGACATGATCAGAATGTCATGTGATTCCCTCCAAAAAAAGAAATACAATAAAGTAGTAAATAAATTTTCGGGCCGAGCAACGATCCCAAAGCCGGTCATCATTGATTGTAAGCCGAATTAGACTCTCCGGGCTCGATTTTCGGAGCACTTCAATACATTTACATATAAAACAAATTGTTCACGTAAACAATAATTTTTTTTTTTTTTGATGCACTGCAACTTTATCAATTTTTCAGTAAATAAAGTAGAGGTAGCGAATGAAATGCATGAGGTTATCATTTAATGCGAGCCATCAAGTTATTTCTTTGCTCCTTACAACCAATTTATTTCTGATTGACAGGTCACCCCGTGATTTAGTACTGAGATACTGAGAAGGTTGCTGGCAAGTGCCTAGATTTATGCTACAATCATTCATATAATGTTCACACCCTCACACCACCACCCACATGTAGGATACACTATTAAAATTAAAGATAAAGCCCGATATGGGCAAACTTTATTAATTAATAAACGCTAAATGCTAAACCAAATAAAACATCGTCGATGTGCGCAGTAGTCATGGACAGCGTGAAGAACGGAATCACGTGATAGACAATTGCATAGAGAAACGGTCTATAATACTTTGAATCTGGGTACTACTAAATGATTTCACCCGCTTGATCTTGTTTGTTCCTATCCTCACATACAACTTGTATATATTTTTTGCCTTCTGGATTTTCTTACGCAAATTCGATTCTGTAATACCTGGAGGATGTTGAGCAACTTCACGGTATGCTCGACTCCTAGCTGTTAGATCGGTAACCGATGAATCTTGAGATCTAATATCCCTAGCCCTATTTTCAAATTCTTCAACATATCTATACCAGCATAAAATTTCATCTTAATTCGCCTTTGCAACACGTAATCTTGCGCGAGTTGCCTTTTGATATAATCGGGTTAAGCTTTGTGATACAGATCCATTACCATCCTCCTTGGCATCATCATCATTTTCGGCTTCACCCTTGGCAGGCGTAGATAACTCTTGCAACAGGCCCTGGAATCTTTCCTGTTCACGAGTGACCCTTGGAGAGCTCTACCTCGAAGTAGTGTTTCGATCCGGATAAAACCTCAAATATTTTAACGTGGGATTATGATTAAAAAAGGTTACAAATTTCGGCTTTGAGTGGACTATAATTTCGGCCAGAATTAAAATAATATTATTCCATAAATTTTTATTAATTTTGGTGGTCCCAACCTAAATTAACCGAGCCGGTATCCGGATAAAAACCGGATAAAACCGCTACGGATCGAAACTCTACCTCGAAGACCGCCTTGAAGAATTTCTTCTCGATTGAGGTTGCGCACTGGTATCATTACCACTATTTGCATTGGTTTGATCCCGAGTTGCCCTGCATATTGGCGGTGGTGCGGTTTGATGCCTCTGGTGTGAATGGAAACGAAAAAAAATATACGTATGTGAAAATTAATGTTTAACCCATCAAGAATCATCAAGAAGAAAGCTTTACCTTGAAAAAGTATGTGTCAGATATTAACTTTCTCACTAGGTTGAATTCGGAAATATGCGTAGCCAATTTGATCTCAGAAAGTACAAAAAAACGGTATATTACCGTCAAATTCTAGGTCCATTGTACATAGATTTATATACCCTCCTGTTTTACAAGAAGGTGATGTGTCCATGATGGCCAAAAAGTGGGAAAGAATAAATAAACATACCACATACACATATATGCGCACCCAAACGTCCGAACGCCGGATTTAACTCCTCGTGATATGCATTGCCTTATTTACACCGCCTTGACAAAGAGCGCGGTTTTATACAAATTATAACCACATATCGCACTGTTTTTTGAAATTGAAAAGTGCTTCGCCTCAACAAACAAGATTCTTCGAGACAATGGACATATATCCAAATTGGGACCTGTTCACCCTTCTCAAGTATCCTACAAAGCATCATATCAGGTCTTTTTCCTTGAGCTCGCCCGTAAGTCATTCGGTATTCTTTAGAACATAAGCTTTGACTGTTCGCCCTTATTAGAATTTTATTAATCCTGGCAAAATTTTGGCCGAATTTTAACTGGATATCATCTACTTAACTCTGGCTAAATTATTTTCCAATTAAATGATCTTAATTTTTCATAAACTGTGTCAAAATGCTGCATCGTAGTGTTACAATCCGGATGGTTTCAAATCGGATAAATCCGCGGATTGGCGGATTGACGGATCAATAGATCGTAATAAAATAAATAAATAAAATCACTAGTTTCGTGGCAAAGTTTATCAAATTGCTGTACCACAAATTTATATGAATATTATAAATTATGAATTTATTAATTTTTAATAGTGAATTTGTTGTTTGTTTTAATTATGTAAATTATATTTGCCGAAAATCACTATGCTACAATAATTTGCACATTTTTTTTAATTTCAACTTTCTATTGTTTAAAGTCTTAAGAGTTAATATTTATTTTTTACATAAAAATGATTTGAAACCACATTTATTTAAGGATTTCGAGCCGATCTCAAAATATAGCCAAATCAGGCATTTACTATTAATATCTCATGTATAATACAAAATTTTGAGTTCTTGGGAGATGTACTTGCCAGAATACGGGGAAAATCGTCAACATATAAAATATCCAGGTAAATAATCAAATTCTGATTTCACGGCTGCGCCGTGAAAATCCACGGCACAATATGACATTTCCGACCAATAATTTTGACACAACAACAATGGCTTTTGAATTTATAGTATATATAATTTTGATACAAAGTTTATTCAAAACCGCGACAGATTTTACAGATATCTTTTCAAAATATTAAACATAAAATAATTACATTTAATATATACAAATACATATTACATGAAACGGTAGTGATAACTTCCCCAGAGTGATGTAGATCATTTTGCCGATCATATATTATAAATGTAAAAAGTTGACTCCAGTATAAATTGATATTTAAAACTCCATTTTCTCTCTAAGTAAAATTGCGGAGAAAGCAAAAATTGAAAACTATATGTTGGTTTTTACTAAGTATTATTTGAAAAAATAAAAATCGGTTTTTTTTTATTGTAAAAGAATGATCGAAAAAAAAAATATATAAAACCGTACGTTGCTATTATTGATCACGTGCCGATAAATCAGTTGGTGAATTGCGGCTAATTAATTCCTTAAACAGGAACAACACTGGATGGATATCAAATAAAATTGATTATCTTGGATCAGGTGGTTAATATTTAGGGGTTTTTTTTTATTTCAGACCACACCCTCTTTTTACGCACATGAAATTTATCATATAATAAAAATCCACTTTCATTGTTAAAATTAAAAAATATTCATTTTAAAAAAATATGACACGTATTTTCTAAATTAGATTGTAACATTGATTAATCAAACAAATTGTCGTGTAACGCCTTGATTTATATTTTTTTTCCATTCGCTTTTATATAAATCGACTTATATGGTTATATTATTATGCTGATAAGTTTAAGATACAATGTATTATCGCTCTATTCCGATAGTGATAAATCTCTTTGACTTTTTACCAATTTAAATTTTTTAATAATCTATTTTCGGCTTGAGTGAAACAATGAAATATAAATGAACGCACAAAACTTTGAATCGGTCATATGCTTAGTGACGAAGGTCACTCCTAAATAGGCGTACTATAAACCCATTCAGTCTTATTACAACAATCTAACTATGTTCATTATGCCAAGTTAGAAACTTTTTTTAAAGCATTTTATTAGTACCTTTAAAAAAATAATTCTGGGAAATTTATTCCGAATAACTCAGTGTGATTTCCTAAATCTTTTTTTAAAAGAATTGAGTACAAAAACATTAGCCAAATGGTCATCAGGTTTCGGTAAAAGCGGATTATGGAACCCGAAATCGCATGTTGCACTCTCCGAAATCGTACACGCATGAATGTCATCAATGAAGAAAATTTATAATTTACAATTAATTTATGTTATCAGTTATCATTTACTTTTTTATTTTATTATATTGATTTTAAAAATATTATTATTACAAAAGTATGTAACATTTTTAGCTAATAAAAAAACGCATTTTTTTTAGAACAATAATAATAATAACATGTATAATGTGTACTTTAATTTTTAAAGTACTTAATAAATTAAAAAGAGTCACGTGATAGTACAAAATAAGTTTAACATTGGATGTCGTTATTTCCATTTTCAAGATGATCGTACGCAAAAAAAGCGGTCAATGTGCTCGATTTGAATCATTTCATATCCAATCAAAATTTAAACACTGTGTTTCCAATTTAAGACTAGACTCTTATAAAGTCAAATCATTTTACAATCTTTTGATTAAAAATAAATTAATGTAAAAAATCTTTTTTTAATCGTATTACATTTTTATCAATATATTTCTTTTTTATAAATATGATTGTATTGCCCATTTTTGTAAATTTCAATCACGAATGCGTGGTTGCTTTTATGAAAATATAATGAAAGAAAATATACTTCTTTTAGTTTAAGTAAATTTTTTAATTATTTTTTAATTGTTCCATTTTCTTTTGTTATTTAGTTGTACCATTTCAATTAATGAGGTATTATAATAACCACCGCCGTAATAAACTTGCAATTGTTTATGCATATTAACGCAACAATAACGAATTTGTTTTTATTATAATTTTTTTTTTTCATTTATGACTGCGTTGATCGCTTCGGTGAAAAGAGCTATACTAGTGTTGTTAACGGTCCAGTTCAGTCCGACTTGGAGCCAAAGTCAAACCAAACCGATTGACTTCCAAGTCGAACCGATGGGGTCATTAATATCGGTCCCATTGACTTTCCATTGGTCCCATCAACTTGACAAGTCAAGTCGAACCGAACCGGACCATGACTTAAAAATCTTCAAGTCAAACCGAGTCGACCCCATCGGTCCGGCTTGGGCTTGGTTCGTTTGACTACTAGGCTATACTATGTTTTGAAAGAAAAAATGCTCTATAAAACGGCTCAATTTTTTTTTTATTCTGCAGTATTTTTTACTCAAAAAACCTCGAAATGAAAAATAGTAGAATACCCAATAAAAAATATAAAATCAAAAAAAAGAAGTGTAAATGCGTACATCGTTTTCCATAAACTAGCCAGGAACCATTATCCGCAACTGAACCCTAGAAAACAGGTGGAGATGTCTGGAAAATTTTGGAATTTTATCCCTAGTAATAAATTAAAAAATAAATTTATCGAGCACGCCGGGGATGACAGATACGGAAGTGGTAGAAAGGGAATATATTATTTCAATCATCACCAGTCGGAAGAGTCATGTATAATTTTTGACGATTATTGTCTTAAATCGAATTTTTCATCGTCGGATGAAAATCATGAAACTCAAACTTCTGATGATTCTTTATCATCATCAGAAGATGATGAATTCTATCGAAATTTTAGTGAATGGATAGTTTGTGATTAAATTATCATCGCTGATGCAGTTTGATTTTTTTCTCGTTATCGAATACTATTATAGTACAAAGTTTATGCGTTAATTTATATTATATTACATACTTCTTTCAGTTCCCATCGATTTTTTTTAGATTTTTCTTTTCGAAATATACTCATGTACAGAATATATACGATAATTTATATTATATATACGTTTCCTTCTCGTATCAAAGACTAGAGATAAAGATTATTCGTCAAAAAGCTTTTTGATTTAAATTTCGTTTTTTTTTTACCCGAGAGGTTTTATTTTCGCCAAACATTCTTGGTATCCCATATAATAAAGTCGCGAATTATATTTTACTTAATTATTGTTAAAAGCTTTTATAAGTGTACTTATGTATTGATCATAATCGCATTCATTTATTATAATTAATTAAATTTTGATATTAAACAATTGAACCCGAAGCAAGCATAGTATACAACATTTTGATTTTAAAGGAATATAGATAAATGGTAATATGAATTGCAAATTTGTTCACAATTAATTACTCATTTATAATTAAAATTATTAAAACTGCTTAATTATAAAACATTTTAAGGCCACACAAATTCAATTTTTCGGTTCACGTAACATTGAAATTTAAAATCGACCCGGGGACCCGGGGTTTATTGTTTATTAGTAAAAAAGTTTATATATAAAATCGTGACATTTGATTGGTTGACTTTTAAAAGGGAGGAATTTATTTTCGCTCTAGAAGTTCTCAGCCGCGTGATAAACTTACCCGCCAATAAAATTACGTTC